TCATGCCTCTTTCAGTCAATGGATCGCGGTGGGTTTTTATATGGTTGATTGTTGCTTTACTCCTGAAAATTCATTCTTTTGACTAATGTGTTGCTTATCATTGCTTTTGTGGAATATAGGGAACAAATGTCCACTATGTCGAACTGTCATTTTTATGACTCCAAGAACATGCGCTGTCAGGTAAAATATTTGCACTGGTCTCTCTTCTCCTTATAGCTCCATGCCATATCATCTATGCAACTGTATCTTGAGAGCTTGTGTTTAAAAATTCTTCTACTGAAGCAACTATGTGTTGGCAGTGTGACGCTGAATAACATCATACAGAAAAACTTTCCAGAGGAGTATGCTGAAAGGAAATCTGAGCAAGACACTCTGGTCCACTTGGGCAATGAAAGTATGCCTCTTTTTGTCATGGATGTGATCATACCCAGTCAGAAGTTGTCTCTTCACATATTTGAACCACGATATCGACTAATGGTGAGTTCTTTCAATTTATTTTACAGTTGTACATTTTAGAGCTTAAGTAGCCTACTCTTTAAAAATTATTCTGAAACTCTCTTTTATCGTGTACTTTGATTAACATGTGTTGGCTGAAAATAGGTGAGAAGAATTATGGAGGGAAATCACCGGATGGGAATGGTGGGTGTTGTGTCTTTTTCTTCTTCTTTTTCCATCGTTAAACATTTATAAAAGGTTCCTGACTAGTAAGGTTTGCCCATTCCGATGTTCGTAGGTAGCTCTTGATTCTGCGACAGGTTCTCCAGTGGATGTTGCTTGCGAAGTTGAAATCACAGAGTCTGTTGCTTCTTTCTTTCTGATGATATTTTATGTCCTTCAGTTAATGGCTTTATCTTTGAGTTACTCACACACAGTCTTCTAATTACGCAGGTGTGATCCACTCCCGGATGGACGATTTGTCCTGGAGGTGAATACTATTTTCATTACATCTTTAAACCCATATTACTTGAATCAATTTGACTGAATCCCTTTTCATGTGACATAGTCATACTATAGAAAGCATAATTTCTGGGTACCTCAGTAGAGTCATTGGAGTACATTTTCTGCAGTTACAATATTTGTCAGGCTATCTAAGATTTGAGCTTCATTGTGACTTAACTATCATTAAAAGTAGTTTGCGGTTTATTATGTGTTATTACTTATTTTGTGTGCTCATCTCATGTGTTATCAAGTGATGAACTTAGTATCTACTTTTTTCAGCTGGAAAGCCATAGAAGGTGCCGCATTGTAAAAGCTTGGGATCAAGATGGGTAAGCTTTCTAAAAGATTGCATTTTTCCATTATTTTCCAACATTATTGAAGATCAGATTTGGGGCTCTTTTGCAAAGTCGGTTGTTCAAATTTTGTTTGATACACATTCCCTCATTTCAGTCATATTCAAACACAAATGCGTTAACTTCTTATTATCCGTCTTTTTTGTGTTTCAGGTATCGTGTTGCAGAGGTTGAATGGGTGACAGATATACCACCACAAAGCGACCAAGAGAAAACAGATGTATGATTAACGCTATCTCAACAGTATTATAATCTTTTTGTGCATTCCATTTCAATCCTTCTCTGCATTCGCTATAGTGAGTTTATTTCCCTTTTTTTTTTACTCAGCTGCAGGAACTGACGAGCAGTGCAGCAACATTTGCTCGTTCATGGCTAGACAGAGCAAAGGAAGCAGCTAGACAAGGAGGTAAGCAATTATTCGTTAAACTGAGAATGGAAAGTGACACTAGTCATGACTAATGAGATTGAATGATTAATAGTTGTGCCATTCGTATACTCTTACTAATCTTTTCCCTTTTGTTCCGCAGACAGAAGAAGACTTGAAATACTTCTAAATGTTGAATCTATGATACCTACACCTCAAGATCCCGAACGCTTCAGTTTTTGGGTAATGTTGTTCATCTGCAAAAACACTCTCTAAACATGGACACAAACTCTTGCCATACACACCTGTGATGAATTATTTTCTCAATGACTGTTTTTGTTTGTTTGGCCTCAGCTTGCTACATTGACAGATAGGAGACCTTCAGAAAGATTGGAACTACTTCGGCTTCAAGATACTGGAGAGGTACTTTAATATCGTTTAGTCTAAGATTGCTCGATTATAATCTTATCGGTCCATTTCTTTTGATTGTTGAATCTTTTTTGTTGCAGAGAATAAGGCGTGGGTTGATATATCTTCGATCAGTGGAACGAGGATGCAGAATGCAATGAACTTGCAACATATACCCTATTAAAGGACAGAGATAAACTTGGAATCTGTTCAAAGAACGTTGACAAAAAAGAAAATTATATTCTTATTAAAAGGAATACATAAGATAAGAGATCCTTGTGGGATCATTATCATCCTTGGTCACTCCATTGTTGTAGATTTTGTTCGAGTGTGTTGTAACCAAAATTACCATATTGTTCGTTATGCAACTGCTAAAAAAATGAAGATTCTTGAAAATTCTTTATATACAACCTGTCGTCCATACAGTTTGTCAATTTTATACTGTTATGTCAAATTCAAAGTTCAAACTGTCAAATTGTACCAAAATTACAAATTGTATAGTTGCCAATAGATATATACAACGTCACATCCTGATGACACAACGATCATAATGCGACATGCCTCGCATACACCATCGTCACGGGACATCATTAAGTACCATAACTACCACACACATCATCCGTCACCATCATGTAACGAGAGGGTCCCAAACCCGTTTTTGGTATAAATCAGTAAATATAACAAATATCCAGATCTTTCATACAACCGGATTATTCTATATATTTATATGTTAAGAAATACGCTAATGATACTGAGCTAGCTCTATACATTATGCCTGGAAAATGGAAATCATAAATTCTTCTCAAAATTTTAACTTAGAGAAGATTAAGTCATAAATAACATAACAAAAAAAATGCTTCATGGCTTTCTCCATATTTGCTTGATCATCACAGTTTCTGAAGATCTTGTTATCGTTGTGCTTCTCAAAACCATAAAAATGTATAGTATTTTGGGTTCTTGGAGCTCTCTTCTGGATTCTCCACTAGGGAAGCTTTTTGTGACAGACGAATTTGTAAAGACTAAAGAGTCATCATTTCCCTTGTTTCTTACCTGCAATTCAAAAAATCCATACACTTGTTGCTCGTCATGTCTTGAGATCTTATGGTATAGAGTAAGAAACATAGAGGGCTTAGTAGCATCGTGTTATACCTTTCTGGAACCAAGATTTTCGAACTAACTGACGAATCTGGCGTTCATGGCGTTCCAAAAGCTCATCAACTCCATAAGATTGAGACAACAAGGGCCCTGAGAATTCGATTTTTTCATCATTGTCTTCGTAACCCTGCCAAAGTTCTTTACTCATTAGCATAATTGAGTACGCTTTTCAACTTTTCCTAAAAGAAAACAAAGCAAATCATGCATGTTCCACTTTTTCCTATCAAGTAATAAAGCTACACTCAATCAAACAGCAATCTTGATCTCTTTCTACTCACTGTATGATGTCACTGCAAACCTGAGTATACTTGGTCTCTACTGTATCAGCTAGAATTTGGATACTATGTAAAAGAAAAAACGGAATGCTACTGACGTACCAAATGACCCCGTTTTGCTGCCTTTTCTTCTCTCTGATAAGGTGCCAACGATAGATCCTGTGAATGATACTCATCCGAAGCATCAAAAGAATCTGGACGCTCAAGTTGTCTCCACTTCTTCAGCATCGAAAGCTTCAACATCTCATACGATTCACGGTCTTGGGAATCTGTCCTCCCCCCATGTTTCTCGTCCTTTTCATTCCCTTTTACCTTAGACTCAACGTCAGTGCTCTCACTGAAAGCAGGGGAAGGTCCCAACAGGTTATGAATGTGACCTCTTGAGAGAGATCTGTTATGTGATGATCTAACACATATGTCGTCTTTCCGTCGCTTTGCCCATGCAAAACCGCTTGATACAGAGACTTGCAAAGGCCCTGAAAAAGGCACGTCTCCTTGTGACGCGTTCTTCACATGAGAAGAAGCTTCTTCTTTTTCATTATCTGATGGCTTTTGCTGTTTCCCATATAAAGTGGCATCGCTATCAATCGAAGTATGAACTGAATGACCATTACGTTTCTGAAATGTCTGGGAAGAGTGTCGTACATCCTACAAGCAGATAAAAAAAGGGAAAGGTTTAGGTACTTTCTTGTTGCTTAAGGAACTCTCTTCTCAAAGATAATATGTAAACAAGAGAGTGATATTACCTCAGCTGGTGCTAATTTAGCAAATGCAGGGGGCTTTCGTGTTGGCTTCCTTGATTCTGTACCACGTCTCCCACTCCCGCTGATTTTTTTCCTGGAATTCCAAATAACATATGAAGATAATCAACGAATGCTTCCAAGAGAATTAAGAGCAAAGAAAATGATGGTAATGAATGAAACTCTGACCTTGTTGCTTCTTCTCGATGCTTTGCATCAATCTCCTTGCTAGGCGAGTATACAGGCAAGCTTGAGGGATCACAAGCAAAAGGCTTTGCAGTGAAATACTGAAAAAAAAGATAAAGGTAATGTCTTTTGAGAAGATGTGACAAGATCTTCCCGGAAATCAAAGTTCCAAATCTTCAAACCTGAAGCTGTCATAGTATTTGAAAGGTAAAATGGTTACCTGGGAAACAAGGGCAGTAGACGCAGTCCCACGTTTGTGAGGCTCTACAGACAGAAGGGTTTCTATAAGAGTGATGTCAGCGTCAGATAACTCTTTCAAGGTTTCTCTGAGACACCCATCATAGTGTTGCTGTGGTTTGAAAAGCATTGCGTGAGGAAGTTTGGATTTTTTCCAGTAATCTGCAGGTGGAGATCCACATAGTTTGAATATCTTGTGCAACTGCTCGACCTGTAACATACATTTCAAGAAACAGAGCAATATACAGAATCAAAAGATCTGAAAAGCGACATGTAGCAGATATATATACAAGAACAAAACATTATATGGTTTACCTCAGTTCTTCCCTGAAGAACAGGTCTCCCGAGAAGAAGCTCAGCAAAAACACAGCCAACACTCCACAAATCAACAGACGCTCCATATTCCGTTGCCCCGAGTAAAAGTTCAGGCGGACGGTACCACAGTGTCACAACTCGACTGGTAAGAGGTTGCTTATTCACAGAAGCATTGCAAAAGTTTGCTAACCCAAAGTCAGCCACTTTTAATATTCCTTCATTGTTCACAAGCAGATTTGAGCCCTTTATGTCCCTATGCATCACACCTCGTGTGTGACAGTGATCAAGTCCAGACAACAATTGTTTCATATAGCACTTAATCTGCAAGGCCATAGCAACAGTCAACTCTCGTACTACATCATCAGTCAACGATAAAATCACTATTGAATCAAATTGACCTGTGGAGTTGTGAAGTTGATGTCAGGGCTAGAGAGAAGACCGGTGAGATCATGCTCCATATACTCGAATACGAGATGTATGTTGCAAGATAGTTTTGAAGTAACCAATCCTTCTAGTTTGATAACGTTGGGATGATTGAGTCTCCTCAGTATCAAAATCTCTCTCGCCATGAACCTAACACTCTCCGGCTCAAAATTGTCGAATCTAACCTTCTTCAAAGCCACTATCCTCCCAGTTTCAGTCTCTCTTGCACGGAACACGCTACTATACGTCCCTTGCCCAATCTTCAAAACCACCATCAAAAATCAAAGCTTATCAATTGAATGCATAATATACAGAGAACTGTAACTGCTTGAGTATGTTCCAAAAAAGTTAACCTTTTCTAGCTTTTCGAAAGCGTCGGATCGAAATGGGACCCAGCCATGGATGGCTTCGCCGGCGACGTTGCTCAGCCAGGCAGGCCAACCGGCGGCGACTTGTTCAGCTTCCAAGTACTTACTTAGATTTCCGAGCCGGAAACTCAACGAGTCGCTTCTACGATTCGAACTCGCTCGACCGGACTCGCTCAACTCGCCAAACTCGCTTACCAGCTCACTGCCGCTCTTCTTGCCACTCTTACTCTTCTTCCCGCTCTTGCTCCTCCACGACGACATGAGCTTCTTCTCCACCGCCGGAGAAGGATCCTCGACCATAATTCGACCCGAACCGGAGCAAGCATTGTCTCTGAACACTCCTGAGTGATCGATCGCTGGCGTTACAGAGACGGTCTGCTTCGAGCTGACGCAACCCATTTCGGAATTTCGCTCCTTCACGTATACGTCACCACATGGATTCCGGCGCCGGTTACGATCCGAACCGTCAAGGACTTGGATCCGGATTCGAATTCAACTGTGATTGATTCTCCAGAAAACTGAAAACTATTGATGCTTCGTTTTTCCTTATATATACATGTACAGAGTAAGAAAGAGAATGTTTTCTCGGCTTTTTCGCTATTTTAATTTTGGCGTGAATTGCGGAAGATGGAGCTCCTTTTATAATTAAATGATTTTACACGAAAATGGAAATATTTAGCCGAAATCGACGGGAAGATTTTTCGATCGACAATGATGATGACTGATGAATTGATCACAGTACAGATTTGATTTATTAACAGTTTAGTTAATAAAAGAGGAAAATACATATACATAAAAACGGTTATTCGATTTATTTTGCTATCAACTTGTACGGTTAACATTTCTAACTAAAATCGAGGTAACGTTTGCTAAGAACAGTGTATGACCCAACTATTAATTTATTGGTTATGGCAATGGAAACTAATTTGACTAGTGTGGTGGGCACAGAGATTGCGCTAATACGGCCAAAACACAGTGGTGGGTCGTTGTTGACTACTTTGGCAATTTTTGTAGATATAAAATGAGAAAATTAGAGTCAAAGGCACTTTATGATTTACATATTATAGTAGAAGGCATTTTTGGCTTTTGGGTGACTTTGATGAGTTTTGGACCCAAAAGATAGACTACAAATTCCAATTTTGCCCTTTTAATAATATTGTCAAAATTCACTTTTTCGTGAAGGAGAAGATGAAATTACTTTCACCGCTGCAAATCTTTTTAAAATCTAAAGCCTCAATACATCGCTGGAATAACTCGACAACTACGTCGGAGGATGAGCACAAGCGAGGTTAAGAAGAAAAAGTTTATGGATCTTGAGAAATCCATGTGAATGCTGAAGAAAATTATCAATTTTGCCTTGTTTCAAATCTATTCCATAATTTAAAAGAGAATTGAAATTTTCTGTGCCAAAACAGAGGGGAGCGTATCAATGTTCTCAACCATCCGATGACATAGATTATTATGCATGGACAAGAGGCCGTGTACACATAGTACGTTTGCTGGCGAAACATCCGCTCGGATGGAGACATTTGGACTTAATTTCATGGACAAGTCGCAGTGGACTAGCGAACATAATTAACCGGTCATCAGGAGATAGGGCAGTGAGCAAAACACGGACGGATTAAGTGGTCGTGGATAATATACTGTGGACGCAAAACTTCATTCTCAGTATCCATAAAGTGATGGGGCATTGTTTATCCATAAACGCCTCATTAATATTACAAGGAACTGTCAACGACATACATTATTGAGCAAGTGTTCAGTCTTATTTGGTCACGTCCCTAAGGTCGTATAAAGGAACACTGTTATCTTACGCAATGGATTTCACGCAGCTGATTTCATGTACGATAACATGGTCCACCGATCAATGTTGACCCAATGGTATACCATTATACAGCAAACAATGCCTTCGACCACAACGTCATTGCATGAGGAAACAGTGACATCTGGAAGACTGAAAGCGGTAGAGGGATGTCCACATTGAAGGGCGGTGGTAGTCAAACATACGCGGGTGAAAATGGTACAAACCCAACTAGTTGTGGACGGACATCCACGAGATCTGGACCAAGTATAGGTTCAGATGGACAGTATACAATGGACATATATACCTCAAACCAATCCAGCGCCAGGGTAGAAGTGTACGGGAGAATGTAACACATACACGCCCCCTACGCACCATAGACGATGAGGAATTCGATATTCCTCCGCTATTTTACGACAGGCTATACGACAGCACCAAAATCCCTGATCTAGACATTGACGAAATGGGCGGAGAGGTTGTTGTAGGGAAAGTATATTCTAGTAAGATTTTTTTTTCAAGCAGCTCTTGTTATTTACGCAATCAAAAGCATGTTTAATTTGATAAACCACGACGAAGAGTAACTACTTTGTGTTGAAATGCAATAAGTCTTTGAGATATATTTGAATATAGAAAAAAAAAATTAATCTTAATGCAATAGGTCTATGAGATCCATCAAAACCACTAAGATCACAAAGAGATCCATGACTTAGTGTCCACAAAGTCATGTACACGCAAACATGTCTACATACACATCTCATTCAGGATAATAAGAAAATTAAACATTTTAGCTTTAATTATTGCACTAACATTAGAGATCAATTACTTCAAGTAATTGTTTTTCATAAACAAATTGTTCAAATACCACACAATTAAAACTGTAAACAAAAGTGAAAATGAGTGATGGCTCACCAAAAATACTAATGTATTGACAGGTTGAGGTTAAATTAGATATGAAGTTAAGAAGAGATGTAAAACGCCAAAGATAGAGCTAGCAACACAAGAGGCTGAAGTTGAACTCATGTGCAGGTTTTGTTGATGCAAGAGGCTGAAATTTAAATAGAAACCTGTTTTTTTTTATCTATGTTTTAATGTTGCTAATAGCCACTTACTCAATCCATGCATTGATATATACACATATTATAAGCCATGTTGTCATACACACAATAACATCCATGATCGTATATCCACAAATAACTATCCACACATAAATACAAATACAATTATCAAATAAATTTAGAGATAAGTATCTCCATCACTGCCGATAGTTTCCTATAGCTGGCAGAAATAGTAAAAGATTTGTGAGAAAATAAAAAGGATGAGCAAAGGTCAGATAAAAGTGGGAATGACAGTCCAACTGCCGAAGGAGCTACTCAAGTAGATTAGGAAGCGTTTTCTCTTTCCTTGTACGTTCTATCTTGCTTCATTGAAGCTTTCAAACCACTTCCTATTCAGGAGTTTTGGAGCCCGACAAGATCCCCCACTGACTTGGCCCTTACTAAACAAGCAAGAAAAACCCTTTTGCATTTCATTTCATGGTACCAGTTTCTTGGTATCAGCATGCAAAGGTTGGAATCTTTCCTAAAGAGTTAAGGTTTTTGTCCAAGTTTTATCTACTAAGAGTGGAGCTATTTGCTGTCACTCAATTCCTAAGTCTGTCACATGACCCTAGACGACGCGGCGGAGACTCTCTTACCCATTGTGTCCCGGAGACACGGTTGAAGCACGCCCATCCAGTGTGCTTCAGTTATGTAACATACTTTCTTATTCTCCTCCACATTCTTCCAAGAAGTTACATCTCTGTGTATGGGGGACTGTGGACGGTGTTACATTTCCGGGAATAACTGGTGGAGTAGGTTCTTCATGTACGCTCTTCTCTCCCACCTGCGTGGCTATGTGGATGGGTGACTGGACGGAGTTTTATATCCATGACCATATCTTCCTATTTACCAAGGTCAGGTATACCGTCCACCACTTGTTGTACCACTGTTTCCATGTATCCCTGTTCTAAACTCAAACGGAGACGACAATATTCCTATGGAATAGCTATCCTTCAGACACAAAAACAACGGCCGTCTAATTCGTTGATAAGAGTGGTTAATATCAAGAAATTGATACTTTCACATGGACAAGTACAACCCATTAGCAGATCTGTATTCTGTTTCAGACGGACAAGAAAACAACGGGAGGACACAACTGCTTAATTCAGAGAAGGAGTCCCATTCTGCTACTAGTTGGACGGGGTACAAGAAAGCTTATCCACGCAAGACTCATTCGAAAATTCGAGATCTTTGTCCATGAACTGCTGTACATTTTGATCACAAGTCTTATCCACATCCACTTGACCAAGCAGTTTAAGCGTAAATATCCGAATGTATGTCATGGATACACATGTTATACATGGATACAAATGATAACCATTACAACATACAAAAGTTATTTCCATCATATTTTACAGCTGGCGGATGGCCAACCACATGTGGCCAACAGTACATGGACAGCTGAATGTGGGTAAAATAATCTTCCCATCTATCTTTCTCCGCCAGCTTATCGTTTATCGAATCTTCAACAGAAACTTTGCTTCCTGTGAGAAATCAGAAAAGTTAAAAGATATCTACACCATTCTTCTTCCTAAATTTATGCTTATTTTGATATTAAGTGGAGTGAGAAAGTAGAATCACCTTCCATGACTTTTCATGTATTCATCTTTTAAACGCATAAAGAGATGACGAGATTTCTATGGGATAACTATCCTTCAAACAGAGAAACTTCGTCGGAAGAAATTGCTGGTTAGAACGGATGAAAACTCGTTAATTGATACTACGGTGATATCGGCAACGGGAACGGCAGAGAAATCACGGTGGTGAATTTTAGGGTTTTTCTATCTTCTCTATTTAAGTTAATGTGTTGTAAAAAAGAAAGTAAAATATGAAAGGAAGAAGGAGGTGAAATTATGGGATTCAAGTAAGAAATAAAGAAAAGAAGTTTTTGGTTTTTTATTAGCCTAAAGTCACCTTAGAGCACAAAGTGCCTTTTTTTGTAAGATTGAAACTCATAAGTGCCTATGAGTGTAAATCACTCATATAAAATTTACTTGATAACATCACACTTGTCATGTGTATACTTGCTAATTACGCGATGACATGTTTAGGTAGCAAGTTTAATACTAAAAACGTATGGATCGATTCAATGTCTTTTTTTTGTTTAATAAACATAAGTGGTGATATTAAATTGCTTACTGAGATTTAATTATTACTACTACTCTTATTTTAAAGTAAAATAGTTTTTTGGGATTTGAGCTTCCGTAATCAATATTTATTCCTCATTAAATTTTTGAATATTTTTGCTGGAAATATCATGTGACTTTAGATAACAAAGTTTTCAAACCAGCCTATATGTGAATGTGGGAGGTTGACAAAAAAACTCTGTATATGTGGGAGCATTTCATTTAATGCTCAAAGCCAAAATTCGAAAACACCACAACATTTTTTTTAAAATTTTTTATGTAGGTACTCTATTAATAAATGAATGCTATTTTGGTTGAAATATGAATTCCACTATACTGTACGCTTTGTTTACACTAAAAGATCCACTATTCAAATATGGAAAAACTGAAAACGAAAAACATTTAAATAAAAAGACTACTAAGAGAGTAAGAAAAATAAAAGTGAAAGGGAAATAATGTTGACTTTAACTTTTCGGGAGACCATCTTTCTTTAAATAGCTCACATAATTGCGCACCTTTTCCGTTTTTTGATATTTCGTGTCTCCATGACCAACCATAAAATCTATTGTTACAGTCACACTATTATTTCTTGACTATACAATACTGATATTAGGTGGTCATTATATTAATAATCACTTTGTTGACTTAATTTTAAGGGTCCAATTAAAGAGCTACATCAAATGGTATAAACTTGAATCATCAATCAAACAAATGGACAATGGTTTCCATTGAGTAAAAGATTCAGATGAATCCAATATTTTTTTTCTTTTATTTGTTTTCTGGTCAACAAATGGATATAAACTTGAATCTGCAAAGTTTAAGCATTCACAGTTGAATCAAAGCTTTACAAAGACATGGTTGATTACTCTCAATATGATGGTAACTCGCACGCGGCTTTAGCATCTTTGGACTTGGACTGACCAAGCAGCTCGGCTACGGTTTTGCAGCGACATTCTTTTCCAGGTCGTAACACGTCTCCATAAACCGCCATTTCGATGACGTCGAGCTCCTTATCTGTATGTTTTCATCAAAAGAAATCTTAAGAAAGTGAAAGCAAATATGCAGAGAATAGAAACACAACACACACTTGAGTCCACTTGTGTATGATCACTGTAACATGCCAACATATCTATAATCTTTCGAGTCTTTTCGGAAAGCATATGCATTTCCCAAGAGCATTTTACACTTTGCTTCACTCTTATAAAAATGTAATTCAGCGAGATCTAAACAATGAGAGGAACAGAGAAAAGAGAAAAAGAAGATCTAAAGCAAAAGCAGAGCTCCCACATGTATGAGTTTGTATGGCATAACTTTTAACGAACATGCTAATATGCTATTGCTATTCAACACAACAAGTGAAAAAAAAAGCCATTGCGCAACTGAATAAGACTATATCTATACTCTTCATGATCTCAGTCTCTACATGATATCAACTATAAAATCACATTTAAGCTATAACACATCTTAACAATGGCAATATCTTCTACATGATTCACTTAGCACTGAAAACGAAACAAAGAATGGTCGAATCTAGCAGAGGAGTAAACCAATAAAGGAACAAATCTATGATTCATCATCACATGTAACAAGGAGAAGAAGCTAAGTTTGGAGACTCAAACCTGTGAATTGCAGGCCACATGAATATCCCTTAAGTGTGGACGCATCCACATTTTCTTGAGCTGATTTCAATCTGTTTACTCGAGTTTGAAGAATCTGGCAATTTTCCGCCGTCGACTCTCCACCTATACACAGAAGAGAACAATCAGTAGTGATTCACAAACCATAGATTCTGATTAGATCACTCAAATCCCTAAATTCAGATGTCACATTGGGGAATCAGTGAGAGTTTTGAGAGAATCGAACCTTTGGAGTAAGGAACAATGTGATCGTACTCGAAGCAGAGACAACCGCTGCAATTTCCGAATCGCTTACAGACGACGTTCCCGGCGGCGTCTTTACGCCACCTCTCCGGATGTCGACCAGGTACGATGTCAGCATTAGCCCAGCACTTGCTCTTCGCCTTTGCATCGAAGAAACGAGGCCTCTCTTCTCCGTTAGATTTTCCACTGAAGCGAGACGGCGATGAAGGCGGCGACGGAGGAGGAGAGGCGGTGGCGGTGGTGGTGGAGTTAGAAAAAGAGGCGGAATATGAAGGAACGGAGGAAGAAGACCCCATCGATCTCGCGTCCACTCTCTCTCTCGAGTTTGGGAGTTATGGACCGGGAATGTGAATTAAATTCGGTTTAAGCTAAATCATAACCCGAACCGGAATTCTTGTTAATTTTCGAGTCTTCTTCCATTGAGATCCCAAAAGTCTGAAAATTTCAGAGCGGATTCACACATTCTGTGAAAAATGAACAGAGTCTTCGCTGCTAGTAGATACTATTAGTTAGACCGTCTTCGGTTACAAGTAGCATCTGGAGATATCTCTCTCTGCGAGTGAAATCTAGGAAGTAAGAGCTCAAATGTTTCAAGATGGGTCGAGATCCTCCGGAGGTGGCGGAGGAAGAGGCCTAGGTTTGTTGCGGTGTTGGCAGATTCAGAACACCTTAACGACCATCAAGTTCGTGATTCTCTGTGGTTTCGTGACCATCCTCGTCCTACTCGGAACAACCAGCTTCGGTGACTTTGGAAGCTCCAACGCCGATGATGCTGATAACCAGAGCCTCGTCAACGAAACCAACTCGATTCTCGCCGAGATTCCATCTCCTTCGGATCCGGAAAACGTCAACGAGCCTCCTCCTGAAGTTGAGATCAACGTCAACGCTACTACCACCTACACTCTCGGCCCCAAGATCACCGACTGGGACAGTCAACGCAAGGTATGGCTGAATCAGAACCCTGAGTTTCCTAGTATAGTCAATGGCAAAGCTCGAATCTTGCTTCTCACCGGGTCTCCTCCTGGACCATGCGATAAACCGATCGGAGACTATTATTTATTGAAATCCGTGAAGAACAAAATTGATTACTGTAGGCTCCACGGGATAGAGATTGTGTATAACATGGCCCATTTGGACGAGGAACTTTCAGGGTACTGGACGAAACTGCCTATGATTAGGAAATTAATGCTGTCACATCCAGAAGTGGAATGGATTTGGTGGATGGATAGTGATGCTTTGTTCACTGATATTCTCTTTGAGGTCCCGTTGTCTCGGTACGAGAAGCATAATCTGGTGATTCACGGTTATCCGGATTTGCTGTTCAACGAAAAGTCATGGGTTGCTTTGAACACTGGCGTTTTTCTGTTGAGGAACTGTCAGTGGTCGTTGGATTTGTTAGACGCTTGGGCTCCGATGGGACCGAAAGGTCGTGTCCGTGACGAAGCTGGGAAGATTCTGACGGGTTATTTGAAAGGAAGGCCGGCTTTTGAAGCGGATGATCAATCGGCGTTGATATATATTCTGCTTTCGCAGAAGGAGACGTGGATGGAGAAAGTTTACGTTGAGAATCAGTACTATTTGCATGGTTTTTGGGAAGGTTTGGTTGATAGATATGAGGAGATGGTGGAGAAGTATCATCCGGGTTTGGGAGATGAGAGATGGCCCTTTGTGACGCATTTCGTGGGGTGTAAACCGTGTGGGAGCTACGCTGATTACGCGGTTGAGAGGTGTTTTAAGAGTATGGAGAGAGCTTTTAACTTTGCGGATGATCAAGTGCTTGAGGTGTATGGGTTTAGGCATAGGGGACTGTTGAGCACTAAGGTTAAGAGGATCAGGAACGAGACGGTTTCTCTTTTGGAGTTTGTAGACAAGTTTGATATCCGTAGAAAGCATGCGGAAACTAAACCATAGAAGCTAGGGAACACACAAGGAGTAAATGTATAGGCAATAAACTCACACTCACACAGTCACACTCAATCATTTTGTTTGTTGTTTTTTTGGGAGAAATTTTACTGTTTTAGCTGCCAATATTCCTTTCTTCTGATGGATGGTTTGTCATTTTCAGTCAAAATATGGAAATTTTTCAAATTTGCTACTGCAATTTTTTTTTTTTAATCTCTTTTGTACTGTCCTAAAGTATTTGATTGTGTTCTTTCTTTTCGTAATTTTTTTTTTTGTCATCCATCATCATTGTATATCAGAACAGAAAACTTCTTGGTTACAGTTTTAGTGGAGTAAAAGAGTAAGAGAGAATCTACTAAAACGAGCTCCTTAAGGTAATTAAACAATTTTAGGACCTAAAAACTCGTAGCATATTTTCTAATTTGTTCTTTTTGCAATCGTAACATGTTTTATAGTAATAATGATTTAATTTAAATAGAGATAAATATCATGTTGAGGTTTGATGAAGATGCGATTTTATTGCTTTACTTATGGAGTCGATCCCTATTTAAGAATACGCGCAAAAACTTCCGAACGAAATTAACAAATCGTCGTCGTCGATCACTCTTTTTTGGTCGGAGTTTCCCAAAAACCCGATGGCGAAGGAAACTCCGTCGCCGCCGTCGATGATTTCCGTCCTTAGAGCCTACGCGGCTCCTATTTTCATCTTCATCCTCGCTATGTTCTTCCAGCTTTTCCTTCTTCCTCGCTCCTTTCCTCCTTCTCACTACGACGGTATCCTCTCTCTCTCTCTCCCTCGGTTTTAAACATTTGACTTCGCACTTTCTCTCTTGAGTATGTACTGTACTGCAATTGGCTTCCGGATTTATCGTTTGATTCGGATCTCTTTTCCTTTTGATTTCTTAGTTTTGGGAGTGAAGATGTACAGTCCAGTGGATGACGTGAGAGAGGCGTACGAGAATATTGCTTCTAAGTGGTAACTTTCTCGATCTGGGGAACTTTTTTTTCACCAACCTCCGTTATTCCGCCTTCGATCAATTCAAAGATCGTTTGTTTATACTTTCCCTGATAATTATGTTCAGTAGAACTGTAACGAGCCTTGATTGGTAACTTAAAAACTTATTCTAGCTTTCCTTTTATCCCACTATTAGTATAGTTGCTAGGCTAGGCATGTAGAGACTGGAGTGTATTTCTAATTGATTTTGAGAACTAGATTGTCTAAGTAGAAAGTATGTTGCAGACAAGCTTTATTTGTCCTCATTTTTTTCAAAATTGATCATGACAGGGATTCGAGTTCAGGAAATGCTCTTCCAGTTGATTTTATAAAGGTTGGTCAGGCTTTTTCCTTGTGCTCAATCTGTCATCCTTTTGTTGTTTTTCTTATGGTTTCTGCTAATAGTATAACTGATACTATAATATTATGCAGATACAATACGCCTATGAGCTATTAACAAATTCAGTATGGAAAAGGGACTATGACCTGTACGGCATTGATGAATCTGTAGTAAGTTTTTAGTTTTGCATCTTCACTTTGTCGTTTTATTGCAGCAAACTTGAAAATGAAAAGAAGGAAGATATCTTATGTCTTTTTTTTTCTTCTGTAAAATCAATTGCTTGGTTTAATGGTTGCAGCATATTATAGAGGAGCTTGAAAAACAATACGCTGTGGAAGATTTTGCAAAAATAAAACTTCCCCTGCTGGAAGCTGTTTCTTATGATCAGTCAAGTAACAGACTTCCTTACCATTTACAGTTCTCTTTCTTAAATTCGTTTTGTATATCTCTCTTTTGGATGCCAATTTGCTAGCGTGAAATCTTTTTTAGAGCCTGAACGACGTGAAGGTTTTATGGCAATTACATCTCAAGACTTTGCATCCAAGGTCCAAGATTCCAAGCCATGGCTCATTCAGGTATACGGCTGGTTCTTTGTTCTCCATGTTTTTTTGGATGCACAGGGAATTAGAGATTGCTTTTATAGAACGCATACTGGATTACATAGTCTAGTATACGTAGCATGCTTTTGAAACCTCTCCTACAAAAGATCTAAACCATCTGGCGTGTTTATTAAGTTGATGATGCTGAAACATTTTCTGTTTAATAAGTAACGTTGGTATATATGTAACCATAATAGATGCAAATGCAATGGAAGCCTTTTATGCTACATTGTGAGAGAGTGCACTTTGTGCTTTTCATTATCTTAAACCATCGAAGATCTTTCCCCTTTGGCGTTTTCCGAATTATTAGTGTCGTTATTTTGCAATGCTACATCTTATGCAACTTCATTCAAATGCCTCTAGGTGTATTCTTCTGGTAGCAACAGCTCTGCCCAGTTCTCTACAGCTTGGAGAAGGATTGGTATGGTTTCATTTTCTGTAGTATGTTTGAAATGTCAAAGTCTTGCCAGCCTTAGATATAGTATGAGATAATAGAATTATATAGATTGAAGAGCGAGAACAGTGTATTTGACAAGGTGAAATTGAAGTATCTGCAAACATTGTTAGATTTCAGGAAAGGAATATGGTGTCTATGATGGACAACGGAACTGTAAAGATATGATCATAACCTGTTATCAAAGAAATGTTTTAATTTTTTGACAAATAGGAGACTGCATTAATGTTAATAGCTAACAACAATGTTGTCATGCTTTGCACCGGATGGAGTTGTTTTACCAATCATTTTCGTCCGCTTCAACTATCTTGTATAATTACAGTTGATTTGGTGGATGGGGTTGCTAACCATGCAATGCTAGAGCTTGGCGATGTCAAACTTGTGACTTACCTTGCTGAGAGAAAACCGACAGGACAAGTATTTTTTAGAAAAGGTAACTTACCTTGCTGAGAGAGAACCAACAGGACAATTTTGTTTTTCTCTGTAAATCGACTTACCGTGGCCTTTTTATTCCTGTTATAACCTCGTACTATGCATGCAGGCCTTCCTTCAATTGTCTCTTTCCCTCCAAATTGCAAAAGTGCTGACTGCATCATCAGGTAGCTCACTGACTGGTCCCTTTAGTTTAACAAATAAGAATGCGTACTTGATGGAAAATTCTTCAGACTAGTCATTTAGATGATTTTTTTGCTTCATTTTCCTTGCTCGCCATAATTTTAATTTACAGCTCTCTACTTTGTTAGGTTTGATGGAGAGCTTTCAACAGATGCAGTTACTGATTGGTTTGCGACCACTGTACTGGGTTTGCCTAGAGTATTCTATCACACAAAAGAAACACTGGTATAAATAACATCATTTGAAGCCATCTTATTGCTGAAGTTATAAATTGGTTGCAGATATTAGAACGTAAATTTTGGAGGAACCATATTTGACTGTGATGTCCTACGTAGTTGGTAGCCTTAGCTTCTTCACTCCCTTGAGAAGTGGTAGCTCTAGAGTTTAGACCATATAGTTAGTCTGAGACGATTTTGCTTACATGTTTTATTCAGCTTCATTCTTTTAGCTAATGTGTGTTGCCAGATTTTCTAGAAATTTAGTCTGATGAGTTCTGTGGTGATATGTTGGCACGTATTGGCAATTTTGGACTGTTTAAAACCTGTTGTTTATGGTATAGGTACCCAAGTTTCTCTCCAAAGTTCCACCTAATAAGGTTTGAACTTTTTCTAACTTTTACTCTTTAGAATTATCCTTTATTAAGCGTTTTTCATCCTATGTAACAAATAACATATTAAGCAGACATGTAATAGTTTTCTGCATCAAATCTACTACCTAAACCTTTTTTTTCTTGTGTCCTTTTTCTGCTCTTCCCCATGCTCGATAGGTGAAAGTCATTTTATTCTCACAAACCGGGGAGCGAGCCACTCCTATTGTACGCCAAGCTGCTAAAGATTATTGGAACTTTGCCTCTCTATCTTACGTGCTTTGGAGAGAAGAGGATGCATCTTTTTGGTGGAATGGGTATGTCACTGAACTTCCATGTCTTGTTTATCCCCATGAATATCTATTGCTTCTTATATCTGTTTTGGCTGTAACCCTTTGATACTCCCACAGCACGATTAGACATCTGCTCGTCTCATATATCTTCTCTTGTAACAGGTTAGAGGTGGAATCTGCACCTGCCATTGTGATTATGAAGGATCCGGGTTTAAAACCTGTTGTTTATCATGGTCTTTCACCATCCTGAACTAAGTATTTCGAACTTACTAATGATGCTTGATTAGGCTACTAATTGTATATTGTATACCATATTGCAGGATCTGGCAATCGTACATGGTTTTTGGACATTTTGGAGAAGAACAAGCAATTACGTAATCACTTTTCTTCTACTCGTTCTATGCTCAGTATAATTGGGTTCTTCATGTGCTTTTCTCTCTCTTCTAAGTTTGCAGTCTTTTAGATGAATGATGTTAGTTTGTTTCTGATCATTTTTCTTTAAAGAGCTTCCTCAACTAAGAAGCACAACGTCAATGGAACTTGGTTGTGATGCAAAGGGATACTCTCGAGCGGGTTTTGATACAGCGACGTGGTACTGCGCCATCCTTGTTGGAAGACAGAGCGTGGAACTCAATAAGATGAGGGAAGTGAGTACATTCTTTTTCAAAACCATCCACTTTTATCTGAAAGTTCTCGTCTCACTCCTGATCAGAAATGTGTTTAATCTTACAAGCTTGTAGACCATGTGCAGGGTACAAGAAGCTTTGTCAGAGCACGACGAATCAGGTGAGACTCCCAAGGATCCATCAATAGCTCCAGCAGCATATGCACAAAAAACCAAGCGACTTTCATTTGCGTGGCTCGATGGAGAAGTCCAGAATGTAAGTATTTGGCCAGAACTCTATTTACATACCTTATTGCATTCTTTTCTCCTGAATCCATCCGAATGTCTTAAGATCTCATGATTATATCTTTACGACTCCCCTTGGATTTTTCGTTCCAGAAATACTGTTTCTTCTATGTTCAATCTGAAACAAGCTATGACACGTGTGGAACTAGAAGGGCACCAGTTGATGTCCCTAGGATATTGATCGTTCGGTACCATAGAAATGCTACAGAAAGTGCCAATGCTGAGAAGAAAACAAGTAACTGGCCCAAAACTGTATGGCAATCTGAAGCTGACGATGTTGATCCCGCTGCACAACTTGTTGTTAGTTATGATGGACCGGCTGAAACTCCCGAGGTACTACAGTAACAAAAACAAAAACTTATGATTCACAAATCTGCATTAGTTTTTGGTATTGACTTTGTTACTGTTTACTCTTTCGTAGATCATAAAGTGGCTATCGAAAATGGTTGCAGATGGTGACAACCAAAACTTACCTTTCTATGTAAGCAACCTCCGTTTTTTTCATTGTTTACATGTTTCCTTATCACATCTCTCCTTTGATCTTTTTCACTTTAACTTGCAGAGAGCGAAAACTCCAGAACTTGTTCCAGAAAGCGCTGAACCGATGAGATCAGGAGTCCCAAAAACCGTAAGAGCAACACAGAAAGTGTTGAGCTTATGGAAGATAATCAAAGACTACCTAACGGATCCAAGAATGGGACCTACATTGCTCCTAGGAGCTTTGTTATCTGCAGGCAATGTTTGGTGGATAAGAAGCCGATCAACACAACCACCTGTTCAGACAAATCAGCCATCAACAGACCAATCAGACGATAACGTAACAGTGAAATGATTCTCTAGCGATTGATCTATATACATATCTCAATTTCTGGCATTGACCCTAATGTTAGAAAGATTTGATGATTGTTTACAGGTGGAGGAGAAGAAGAAAGAGAGGAAGAGAGAACAACGGAGGAGGAATGCAAAAGCTGAAGAGGCTCCTGCTTCGATCACTGATAACGAACCTAAAGATGCTGTTCAAATTCTGTCTTCAGGTTCTGATTCTGACTAATATATATTAGCCTTAGGAATCTTCTGGCTTTCTTACATTTCCATTGTTGCTTTTGTGTTTTTCTTTTTTTTTTGGGGAAAAATCGTAGGTTGAAGTTTTAAGTTATATTCATCATGTTGAGAACTATTTAAAATATTCGAGCCGACTTTACCATACAATATCATGTCATGTATCACTATCCAAACTCGAGTTAGATCAAATAAATTTCTGATTCAGATTCAAATACTTCACGCATTTTGGATATTAACGGCCATACCTTGGAATGTACATAATTTTTTAGCCAAATAAATCATACTATACTTTTTCAACATAGAAATACGGAAAATTTGGATCGCATTCAGAAATGATTCAGTTATTGGGTTGAAATACATGTCTATTATAAACTAACAAGTAATATGTGCACAAATCGGATTTATTTGATGTCTACAAAAAACCCTGTCTTGTAAGTTGTAACTTCTAACACCTTCATATCTATTTCTTCAAAGAAGACGAAATTTTTTGGTGGACCTTCATTTTTTTGTTTTCCTTTCTTGGTCTTCTCTATTTGTCTTCGACATTTTTAGGAAGGAAATTTGCATTATTTATGTTTGATATTTTGTAAAGGAATAAAAAATGAGTTTTTGATATTTCGATATTTCCGACCAATCATGCTGCTCGGTATGGGACAGTCTCCTCTCAAGTGCGGTCCACGAGAGTCTCAATTAAGAGGCTCACGACAACATCAACCTTATCGTGTTTACAATTTTCTTTTACGTTATTTGGTTTCAACCACAGGTTTATTAATGGAGATTCTCACTTCTCAGGATCATCTACATGATTTCTCCAACCAAATTATGCGTCGTCTTACTTATTTCAGTGGCATGCATAAATGAAACTACATGACTTTCTATAAAAGTAGAAATCTAAGATAAATTATTTATTTCTGCTATCATTTAACCCAAAATATAATATTTTAGTAATTAGTTTTTTTAAAACATTTAAGTATTATAGATATATCGTATAAGGAAATAAATGAAAGGTTCGTATGACGACAAGAAGAAAATGAGAAGCTCGTATTGATCTATCATTATCCCTTTTTTTGTGTAAAAGATCTATCATTATCCTTTTTTTTTTAAAAGATCTATCATTATCCTAATGAGAAAATTCATATTCCCTCCGTTTTTTTTTTATAAATTTTCTAGGATTTTCACACATATTAAGGAAAAGCAAATTTTCAATCATTAGTGTATTGATTTCTGCAATAAAACAATTTTTTATAATTTTTAACCAATAAAAATCTAACAAATACAATCATTATTTCTTGAAAACTGAAAAAATGTATAAAAAAAATAGAAAATTTATCTTTGTGAAACAACAACTAATGTCTAAAAAATCTATCTTAAAAAAACAGAGGGAGTATTTTATTAAAGCAATAAACCACGTGTCAATTACAAAATTATGAATTTATTTATATACAAAACCGTGAGAAATGATTAACGCGGCATCAAGCTTCAACACAACTATCAAGTGGGAAACCAAATAAGACAAAATTTATATATTATTATTTTTTAATAAAGAGAAACTGTCTATTTAAACATAGAAGGTGGTTGATTCCGGTGAAAATTCCCACACTACCGCCCAAAAACATTAAAAACCTACCATGTGGTGACTGGTGAGGAATAACAGGTTTTGAAATCGTTCACTATTCATCAACCTCATCGCTTGAGAGAAGAAGATACTTTTACGTAGGATGAGAAGGCTGACAGATGGAGAAAACACGCCGCTAAAAACCCATGACTAATGTTATGCAAATAAAGTGATTAGAAAATTGTCTAAAGGAATGTGATTTACAGATACATCCATGCATTGCCTTTTTTCAACATCAAAAAAATCCGTTTATAAGAAAACTTGAAAAGTAAGATAACTATTGGAAGAAGTAAAATAAAAATACTTAATTATCTATGATGGTTATTGGAGTTTGTGGGAACATTTTCTTTTTAAACTTTTTCATATGATGGTTATTGGAGTTTTTATGTTACTTATGAACATGATATGTTTATTGCATTTTTCAATAACAAAACAAAATAAAAGATGTATTTTCTAATTTAAATAATAATTTATACAAACAATGAAAAAAGTATCATTTCGACAGCTAACTACATAGTACTCCCTTCGTTTCATAATAAGTATTATTTTAAGAAAATGACACTGGATATATCTGGATATATTTAGATATATTAAACTTAAAATATATCCAAATACATTCAGAGTCACTGTTCATATACATTTTTCAAATGATATTTATTATGAAACAGAGAGAATAATAATAATCTATAATATTTAAATACTTAGTACTGAATGACTTTCTGATCTAAGAAATTGAGTTGTCTCTATATTTTAGAACCACTCCTCCGGACAACCATGAGAAATCCCAAAAATGACTCACAACAACAACAACATCAACCTTATCCTGTTTCTTTTTCAATTGCTATGTTTTTCAATTTCAACCACAGATCAAAAGATTTAGACAATTACTGAGGATTCTCATGATTATATCTCAAAGATTTTGGGACATCTCCAAATCATGTGACTTCATGTTTTTTTTTCTTTTTCTCCAAATTATCTTATATCTCGAACTTCATGTGACTTATGTTTTTTTTCTCCAAAACTCCAAATCATTGTTTATTTTGTTCAAATTGAATTATAAGATGGGAGAAGCGAGATAGAAAACTTTCTTTATATTTTCTGTATGAAAGTAATTCTGATACGTAGAGATAGAAAACTGCGTAAAATGAAAGAAAGCTAGTTTTACTTTTGGATATAACTTTTTCTCTCTAAATTTGGTGGGTGAAAAAAAAGTTCCAACAATTTACTCTTAGAAAAAGTTTACATTCAGACCCTGAGATAATAAAATAGACAGGCTAGTACTTTTTGTTTTATTATCAGCTGAGGAAGAGGAAGTACAAAACAATCTAAATGAAAAATTACAAATAACACTATTAAGCACGTGACTTTTTCCGAGCGAGTCATTTAAGCACGTGTCAATAAACTAATCATGGATTTACATATACACTTATACAGTTATTAGACAACAGTGACAACGATGATTTACGCGGTTCGACAGTTCAACTATAGTGTGAAACAATGGGTCACAAACAACATAATCACCAATTTTATTTGTGTTCACAAGTTACCAATTTTTTTCTTCTTAATTTCTCGCAAATTAAACCGATTTTGTTTTTTTTTCCGTTATCACGTGGATTAAAGATAAATATTAACTTTTAAATTTGGTCAGGAGGGATGAGACCTGTATCACCTTTGTGTCGTTCTATTTGTAGCTATTGTTGAGGAAGAAGACAACTGTTTTGAGAAGTGATTATCTTTGTCCGAAAGAAATATATAGAGCGTGACTGAGATATTATTTATTAAGGAGGAAAGAAAGAAGGGAAAATAAGAAACAAATGTACGTTATAGACTTATACAGGGCAACAGCGTTGTAGAAATAGATAACGATAATTATCTTTTTTTCTTTAAAAAAGTTTATGATATGAATCTGTAGGTATAGTAAAATCATTTCAAAATATGGTTATTCTTCGGTAGAACTCAAGAATGTGAATGGAGAAATATGAAAAGGATGAGAGAAAGCAAAAGATGTTCACAAAGAAGGATTCGACCAGGGAAGACAGGTCTTTTCAGTCAATGGGCCATACGTCTATTTGTTTTTTTTCCATATTGGTTTGTATAAAATTCAAAAAATGTGAACAATGGTCTATTTATTTACTTGAGTTGGCGTCTTCGCGGTACATAGTATCAACTGCAACGTGACGTCGCCCCTCAAGATGATCAAGTTTTTTTCTGAAATAAAATATTCCCCCAAGATTAATTACCACATGCTCTTCTGCTTCTTTTTCCAATAATTTAAACAGAATCATCATCAGTCATCACTACAACTCGACTAGAAGTAAGAATATCATACTTTTAAAGTTTCAATAATAATAACTACGTTACACGTACTACAATTAGTACAATATCCTCTTACTTTAGCTTACCACTTTGTTTCTACTTTCTAGTCCACACTTGAGAATTTAATTAATTATTAAACTAAACATCTACACGTGTATCCAAAATTGCCCAGATTTTCATACATATATGAAATTGTTTTTACTTTTTTGCTATTTTCTTGTTAAATAAAATTTAAAAGCTTGTCGAACTCGATAACTTATTTTGCTATTTTGTTTTCCCCAAACTTATCTACGTACACATAAATTTTGGCAAGATATTATGGGTATATGGGGGGAAATTTGTACTTCGAAAAAAAAGAGGATGTTAAACTTAAATCTAACGGTGAGAAAAAAGAAAATCCAACGGTGGAAATACGATAAAACCAAAAATGGAGCTAATGTATATATATAGGTATACAACCCTTATAATAATAACACATATCTCAGTAGTCAGTACTCATCTCTCTATAGACCATTCTACTTCCGGTAAAAACTAAAAAGTATATATAGAGAGAGAGAGAGACTCGCTTATAAACTCATTATATTATTCTGATATTGTCTTATCGTGAGGGGGTGAACGTGGACGGTGGACGTATAGGATTCTTTGGCCGGAGAAAAATGGGGAGGACGACGTGGTTCGACGTCGACGGGATGAAGAAAGGAGAATGGACGGGTGAGGAAGACCGGAAACTTGTCGCTTTTATCAACGAGCATGGCATCTGCGACTGGCGTTCTCTCCCTAGAAGAGCTGGTATATATTTATAAACTATAGTTACACTATATCCATTGCCTATATTCCATAAACATATGTAGACGTGCATTTGTGAATTGTGTTTATGTGAATTCGTGACTTCTTTTTTCTCTAAGTGTAGATAAACTATAGTTTCTGCTACGAAAATATATGTACTAAAATACTTGAGTTTCAGAATATATACTAAGATTTATATCAATTAGAATGCTTAACATTGTTTTTGCTCATATGTCTTCGAATTATTTTAAAATTCGTCTTAGAAAACAGTTGCAGCTAGCTTCTTGATAAAGTTCTCATTTGTATTTACTGAAATGAATATCAGAAATGCAGAATCCGTGTTCCGGTCATGATATATATAAAAAAGCTCACCATGAAATCCTAGCGAAATCATTTTTGTAACCAAACTAAGAATAGAAATTCAAAGTACATATTTTAAATTGTAGCGAATCTACACGACTGATTACTAATTCTTTTCATATATAGTAATGATTTTGTTGTCCGGAATCTTTATAATATAGTTGAAACTTATACCAATTTTATCCATACGATATTACAAAAGAAAGTGATGGCAATCTATTAACGGTGCGCAAGGGCGACAGGTGTTTCCAAGGCTTTGTCATGTATATATAGACGACAAGTGTGTATATGTTTTTCTTTTTGTCGAGTGTGTGTATATGTTTTAAACTTTAATTAGTAGTACCTTTTTTTTGTTAGAATAATTCTTTTTTAAAGACCCAATCTCGAAAAGTCAAAATCTTTACAGCTTCTTATTTTTTCTTCAAATTCTGCATTGTTGTTGATAAAAAGTTTAATTCTTCGCAACTTCTTTTGTTTGCCACTACAAAAGCATAATAAAACTCTTTTATATTTTATTTTTCTACTAATATTGACATTTCAATAATTTATAATGAAAATCAGGTTTGCAGAGATGTGGAAAAAGCTGCAGATTAAGGTGGCTTAATTATCTAAAACCTGGGATTAAAAGAGGCAAATTCAATCCTGAAGAAGAAGAAGAGATCATTAGACTTCATGCTACTCTAGGAAACAGGTGAATTCTTAACTAAATAACTACTGCTCCAGCAGAAGTCAAAACATACATTTTCTTGCATATATTTTTGGCACAAAGGAATATTAATTCTAGATAATACTATATACGTTGGTAAAGTCCTATACAACCTTTACGTTGCATGGTAATTTATGGAGTACAAAAGAAAGCTTGATGTTATAAGTCACAAAGTATGTTAAACATTACTCCACATGATGAATACAGTACATAGTAATATCACTAATTCCCTATACTTTACAATCTAACCTTATTTTACTTATTTATTACTAATTTTTAACCTTGATAATCGAACTAAAGTTTAGAATTTATTTGTTACTTATTATGACGCAAATAGTGTCATAACTAATACTAGTAACAAACTGATGCAACTTCAGTCATGCGTGATTAATATTAAAACTTTAGATAGTAAGAATATTCGGTTTTGTTAAGAGATTAGTTTGGTCATGATCAAGGATCTCTCAAGTAAAGTTTTGTTGTTGTTATTGCTGAAGGTGGGCAACCATAGCGAGGCAGATGCAGAATCGAACAGATAACGACATCAAGAACCATTGGAACTCTTGCCTCAAGAAAAGACTTTCAAGAAGCGGAATCGACCCAATGACCCATAAACCCATCATCATCAGGACCACTAACATAGAAAGTGGCAGCTCCTCCACAATGACGTCGCCGTCGACGGAAAGCTCTTCCTCCTCGTTACCTTCCATCTCGGCTCGTCTCCTGAACAAGCTCGCTGCAGGTGTCTCATCTAGAAAACACAGTCTCGATAGGATCAAGTACATCCTGTCCAGCCCAAATACCAGAACCAGTGATCAAGATGAAGTAGAAGCAGAAGAAGAACAAGAAGAAGAAGAAAGAGAGTCATATATGGATCAGCAGGTTGGTGGTGGTTTAGAAGATGATTTTCCAATGTGGGACGTTGAGGAAGTTAGGCGTTATATGGAGATTGATGTAATGGAGTACGACACGACGTCGTACGACTCTGCCTTGTACGAGAGTACTCACATACTTGATCATCTCTTCTGACTCAATATAGTGCGAGTGTGTGCTTGTGTTGTTGTAACAAAGAATATTAATGTGTGCACCACTTTGATCAAGTGAATGATTTCCTAATTAAGGGCAAGTCTTTTAGCATATGACATTTGGGAAAAAAGAAAAAAGAACTGTAGGAAACTTCATGAATTTGCAATAATGAATTTTAAAATTTATTGTGAAGTAAATATGCTCGATCCTATTAAATAATATAAGTCCTATTGAATCTGACAAATCCTCCGAATGAATATAGCTGTTAAGTAATTCGATCACTGAGATTTCTAATGAATATAGCGTAGCATCATTTCGATTGTCCATGTAGAAGTAAAATAATTTCATGTTATCAAAGTAATCATGACAAAAAGGTCAACTTTGTTCTTGACTCTTGAGAGAATCAATTCCACAATTTTCTCGGTAGAAAGAGTAAGACTATCATGTAAACGACGCTTAACCTTGCAATAGAGCAAGTTTGGAAGACAAGTTTAGTGTAGCACTATAGAGGCATAGTAGAATCTGCTGCCATGGGAGAGGAGAGGAGAGGAGAAAGAGACAGACATAAGTGTTAATTTGAGTTACCAATTTCCAAATTGCCTGTAAAAAAGGTACACCAACAAAAAACAGGTGGTCACGGAATTTGTCTGCAAGCGTGGGGCTTGTACACGGAAATCACGTGCCTCATTTGACATTCTCATAATATATCATAGATTTTTAATGAAACATATTTTTTAAATAAAACTTTTCGAGGAGTAACATTTTATTTGAGGGATTTACTTCGATTTGGTAACAAGATATTCTCGATACACTTTCTTTATTGTCAATTTTTTTGTTGTCAACAATAATACACCTGGACTTGAATTTTGTTTTATGTAATCTAAAGGTTTTGTTAAAATAAAAAAGAAATAAAAAGATAAAGAAAAATAAAAGAGTGGTTTTGGCCTTTTTGGATTTATTAAAGTAATCATAACAAAAAGTCAAGACTTCAATAATGCTGTGTCCAAAATACAAAGTGATACAATATACAGTATAGTCAGTAGTCAGAGTGTGTGCATATTGACAATTTCAGGACAAAACTTTATTGCATATGTTATCTGCATGTGTGATGTGTCTATATCTTGAGTTCTTGCCTCTATAAGTCTATATTGCCTCTACATGAGAAATTGGTTAAGGATACAAGAATTTTCTATATTTTGTTTTTGTTTTTAATTTCTTACAAATCAAAACGTTGTAGCCCTTGTAGGCCGATGGATCCTACCCAAAATTTCGAAAAGTCCACAACATAAATTTATCAATGCGTTCCGCAAAAAGGTAAACGTTACCCTTGTGATTGATTACTAACATGCGGCCTATATTACATTCAATACATTGAAACATAGTTGAACATCAATCCATGGTGGTCTTATTACTAATTCGGTTTTAATACAGAATCACAATGGTTTTTTCAGTTACATAATCCAAGCTTATGTGATCTTGCTCTTCTTCTGCTTCTTTTCTCTGTACTCCTTAATGTCACTTTCTACCTTGGCATTCACACGCGCTTGAAAACCGGGAGATGGTTCATACCCGAAAACCGATTGAAGAACCTGGTATTCATTCACACAAATTCCATATTAAACTTTTCACAAGATCCAGATCAGAACAGAACACAACACAACACAAACAACTTTCACCTCGAGCAACACGAAGAAAGGAGCCATGAGAAAAGCTTGGGCTATATTGTCTAATAGCGCAGGTGCTCGTTTCTGTGAGTAGACAGACAAGAATCAAGAAGATCTGTTTTAGGCCTCATGAATACCGATGATGAGACACAAAGGAGAATCAAAACAATGGTTTCTAAGAGCCAAAGGACTTACCTCGAACAAGCCATGGCCAAGGAACTGTCCGGTCCAACATAACAACTGAGATGCTAATCCAACCTACAATGTTTAACATAACAAAGGGATTTCAGATAAAGATTCCGAGAATATTAACTGTTTTTTCTATTCCTACATAACAATTATCAAATGACTCAGAACACCGAAGATACATATAAACCTCCTAAAGTAAACAGCTGTTGCTTCAAATGCTTTGCAAGAAAAACCTGAGATTTATTATAACAAGTGGTGATGGAGAGACTCTAGATACCTAAGACAATCACCAATGTTGGTGGCCAAGAACAACATTTGTGACCAGGTGAGTCAACAACACTTAAAACATTAGACAAGTCTTGGGGACCAGAGAATCAGAATCTTGCAAACTCAAAAAGTGGACAAGTTGCAGAACAAACTGCAATGACTAGTCATGAATGTTCATATAGTTTTAATTACTGCTACCTCAACGTTTACTAGCTAATGTAGGGACCTAAATAGAGAGAGAGGGGACTAACAAATCTTAACTTCGATTTCTTCTTTCACCGAACACAAATCATTATATAAAGGCTTCCAAGTCAAAGCATGTGAAAGAGTGACCAATAAATGCATGAATGTGCACATACTCTCATAAATACGGTCCTGCAAAATTATCACCATTTACTCCTAAAAGATGAATTTTTTTTAACAAACCTTAAAGGCTAGAGAAGCTCCTAAACGAGCAGCGAGAAAACTGGAACCGACCCAGCAAGAGAAACAAATGACCGCCGCTACAAATCCGGATTTCTTATCCAGGCAGATGTAGAACAGAGCATAGATCACGGTGGCGATAAACCCGACGTTTAATCGCAGAACGCCGTCGAGGGCCAGCGATTGAGGAAGCCCTAATTGAGAAAGATCGAAAATTGGGGTCGCGGAGTGGAGGAGAAGCAAGGCTGTGAAGACGATCGGCCAAACGAAGATGATGTGGATGATAATGTTGATCGGGTTGCTGTGATAAGCACCGTAGAAGGCGAAGTGCTTCTCGAGATCGAGCAATCCCGCCATGCGACTCATTGTTTAAGCTTTTCGAAGAAGATTTTTCTCTGAGGGAGAGAGGAAGAGATGAGAGATTTTAAAGGGGGTAAATTGGGGGAGATGAAGAAATCGTCACCAGCCCCAAAGAGGAAGATTTATGACAGACACGGGAAGAAGACGAGAATGAAAAGCTTTCTTATCAAATTGGGTGGAAAAAAAGCTGAATGCTAACATGCGCCTTTGGAAGATTGGAAGTGTTCTACGATTGCTAAACGGCGCAGCTGGATTGACACGGGAAGATGACGAAAGCGGGACGTTTACTTGACCCGCGATTTCTTAGCAAATTCGGCAATCATTGCTAACCCGCGCTCTTTAGGAGACTAAACGTGTTCTGTGATTGCTAACCTGCGCTATTATAAAGTTTTTTTTAGGAAGAATACAAATGTGGAAAGTAGAGTTTGTTGGATGATCCTAGGCTCCTAGCACCTTAAAGGCAATAGTGGTGATAGTCGCTCTATTCTCAGGGAATGATAAATGAGAATACATATGTGGAAAGTAGGAGTTTTAGTTGTATAGTCGCTCTATGGTCGACAAAAAATAAGAGGCAATTGTTTGTCGCTAACCTGCGTTTATACTGTGGAAGACTAAACAATGTGTTATGTGATTGCTAACCTGCGCTTAAAAGCTGTTGGTTGTTGTTTATTTATCACAAAGGTTGAAGAGTGGACGATACTGATTACCTTATCCACACATCTTCTGCCTCCAAAAATCTAATGTTAAAGATAAATCAATCAATAAAGAAAGAAAAAAAATTGCAACGACACTGTGTCTCTCTCCTCCATTGCCACCATCAAGAAAGTAAAAATGGCTGAAGCTTTCTCAAGTTTCACATTCACAAACCTTCATATTCCTACTTCCTCTAATTATCGGGTACGTATTATTCATATACTAACAAACTGTTCCATAATTTTTGTTAAAAAAACAAAAAAACTAAGGAATCTGTTTTGTGTTGTAGCCTAAGCAGATTTCCGGGCCAAATCATACATATTGGCAATCAGTAAGTAATAGTATCACATAACTAAGAACTGAATTAAGAATCTCCTTATTCGTGTGACAACTTTAAGGGTTCGAGTTTGAAAATTAGATGAAAGTGAATGGGAAGCGGGAAAAGGATCTGAGGAGAGGAAGCTTATGTGTAAGAAAAGCATTGCCACATGATTTACCGTTAATGGCAGTGATGGTTCAACAGATAGAAGGGATGCGTGATATCATTACAGAGAAACATGTGTGGCATCTAAGTGATAAAGCCATCAAGAACGTTTGTAAGTTTTTTTTAAATGGTATTTTTTGTAGAGTGAAGACAAGAATTGCCTAAAATGATCTTGATCTGGCAGATATGTTCTACATCATGTTCACTTGTTGGGGATGTTTGTACTTCGGTTCCGCAAAAGTATGCAACATATCAGATCAAATATATCTCTTGGGATCCATTTGCCGCATTGGGATCTTAATACTTTTGTGATATTGGATCAATAATGGTGTATATGTAGGATCCATTTTATGACTCAGAGGAGTACCGTGGAGATGGAGGTGATGGAACTGGATATTGGGTCTATGAAACCGTACGTGTCTCACTTTCTAACATTGGAAAATAAAAACATACATACAAGTATACTACTTATAGGTAGAGATGTTGCCATGGACTAGCCCATATTGGTCTTAATAGTTAGAGATGTTCAAGTCCGGTTTGACCCCCATGCATGTGCCTTAGTGGTCAGCCTGCGATAGACAGAGCAATGTACATGGCTTTTAGCCTTTAGGTTTGCGTTTACATATCGTTTTTTGACAAATGAATCTTCTAAACATAATCACAATTCACAATCTTAAGCATTTACGTTTGTATATATGCGTTGATTATTAATGTTAAACTCAAACGTTTGATTGTTTGAATATTGAAACTCTTCTTTTTCTAAAGAAAAGGAGGATTCTTTAACCAAAAAGAGGTCAATTATAATTTATGTCTACTGTCTAGTAAGGTTGGGCCAGGTTAGGCTAGCTTGGGCTGGGTCGGGCCATACACCTTTTAGTACACTACAATGTAGAAATATGTACGACTATTACAAGATTGGTATAGAGATGATTTTGTGTATATTTGCTTAAATGGTGCAGCAAGAAGACATAGAAGAGAAAGCAAGAGCGGAGCTATGGCGTGAAGAACTTATAGAAGAAATCGAACAGAAAGTTGGTGGTTTAAGGGAGCTCGAAGAAGCTGTTACTAAGTAGCAAACTAACTTGTGAATCATAAACCAATATTGTTTTGTTTTGATAACTGTGTCATAAACCACTAGCTCGTCCATTTATATAATACTATATGTTATCTGTTTCTTTGTTGTGTTATGTTCTAACTTCTAAATAATTGAATGGACATGTTAGGAGCAATTGTCTCCTCCAGTCTCCAGATTTTGTCTGACTTCTTTTTTGTAAATTGCCATATATGCAAACAATTACTCAATTGGGGCTAAAATAATTGGCCTGTGCACTGGACAGTGAGTCTAATGAGGAACAACTTGCGGCAAATACGCTTTTGCACGATTTTATCTGTCCTTCAACTGACATAACTATAAAAACTAACTAATAAAACTTCAAACTAAAAAATAAAAATAAGTCAGGAGAAGAAGAAGAGCTTGACATGTCTCTGTCAGTAATCTTCGTGCTTCCATGTTTCAAAGCCTCTTCCAGCTTTTGTGACACACACACGTGTGGTCTTCTTTGTTTATGACCTTCTCTTTTTTCTTTTAATTTTCAGATATTTTCACATGACAGGGTATTCTATGAAATGGTTTTAATTTTATAAAATATATGGATGTAATGTATTTTGTTTTGTATCAACTAATTCTTGTAGTTGTGCAATTATTATTCCGGGCCATACATGATGTGTGATTGGTAATGACACCATTTACATTATTCTATTATTTTTGTTGATTATAAATCCATTTAGTTACATTATTCTTTTGTTTAAATCACTCTGATAATCGCATTCTTTTATTCTGAATATATGAATACGAAGACATAATGTTTGAATGTTACATATGCATCCAAACTTGCTTTGCGTTTTAGTTTTTGTTACTAGTTTATTTTGCACACAAGAGAGTTACAAGAAGAAACAAAAATAAAAAGTACATGTCATGTAATTTGTCTTTGTGTTTTCTAGAACAACGAGAACGAATCAACAAGACCGAGTCCCTTTAACCCTCTCTTAATTACGCGCCAGCGAAGACTGAGCTGTATTTTATTCCACATGTCAAGTGCATTGACCTAGTCTCCCGTCACAGCTCCAAATCTCCACGTGGCACCCACTAATCTCTCATTCTCGACTTCATCTGTCACAGCCCCGTGGTTATAGTATTTTAACAACTGAGATTTTTACACTGCTCGTTACAGATCTGCAGTTCGACGTGTACACTGCGTGTATTGTGACGAATAACAAAAAGAGAACAAAAATTAAAAGGAATGAGAACGCAAAAAATCAAATATTAACTTTTTTTATTGTCAACAATGAAACAACAGAGCAAACAAAAAAAAGAAAAGTGGATAATAATCAAATATTGAAAAATTCTAAAGCAGATATTAAAATACGCGGTCAAAATTATCGCTTTATAAACCCCATCTCTCCTTCTTCTAGCTTTCATCAATCATCATCATCATCACTCTCTCTCTCTCTCTCTCAATCAGCAAAAGAAGTCATTTAAAACAAAATTCCGACTCTATTAAAGAATTTTCTCCGGAAAAAAATCTGACTTTCTTCTTCTCGGGGAGAAAAATTCCGACTTTGCATCTTGTTTTGATTGAGGATGCCAGCGACTGATTTTCAAGGATCATTTGGAAGGTCGTTGCTAAGTTTACGGCGAGACCCAGTTGACTCTACCGCAACAACTAGCCACCACCACGAGCCAACCAACATGGAAGTTGAGCTCGATTCCTTCCAGAGACAAGTCGCCGAGAAATTCATCGATCTCAACGCTGCTTCCGGTGGAGATAATAACGAGCTTCTCTCTCTCGAATGGATCGGAAAGCTCCTCGATTCGTTTCTCTGCTGCCAAGAGGAGTTTCGAGCTATCGTCTTCAACCACCGATCGCAGATCTCCAAACCTCCGATGGACCGTTTGATCTCCGATTACTTCGAGCGGAGCATCAAAGCCCTCGACGTCTGCAACGCAATCCGCGACGGGATCGAACAGATCCGCCAGTGGCAGAAACTCGCCGACATCGTAATCTCGGCTCTAGACAGCCACCGTCCGATCGGAGAAGGACAGCTCCGGCGAGCGAAGAAAGCTCTGATCGATTTAGCAATCGGAATGCTCGACGAGAAAGATCCTTCCTCCGGAGCCAACCTAGCGCATCGCAACCGTTCGTTCGGGAGAATCAAAGACAACCACAGTCACCACCACCGTTCGATTGGGCATTTCAGATCTCTCTCGTGGAGTGTCTCCAGGTCTTGGTCAGCTTCTAAGCAGTTGCAAGCTTTAGCGAGCAACTTAGCGACGCCGAGACCAAACGACGTCGCTGCGAGCAACGGTTTAGCTGTACCGGTTTACACAATGACGTCGGTTTTGCTTTTCGTCATGTGGGTTTTGGTCGCTGCGATTCCTTGTCAGGATCGTGGACTGCAAGTGAACTTCTTTGTGCCGAGGCATTTCCAGTGGGCAGCTCCGGTTATGTCGCTGCACGATAAGATTGTGGAGGAGTCGAAGAGAAGAGATAGGAAGAATTGTTGTGGGTTGCTTAGGGAGATTGATCGGATTGAGAAGAGTTCGAGGTCGATGAACGAATTGATCGATTCGATTCATTTTCCGTTGACGGAGGAGAAGGAAGTTGAGGTGAAAGAGAGAATGGAGGAGCTTGTGCAGGTTCATGAAGCTTTGAAAAATGGTTTGGATCCGTTTGAGAGGAAAGTGAGAGAAGTTTTCCATCGGATTGTAAGAAGCCGAACAGAGAGTCTTGATTCTCTTTGATGTAATAAGATCTTTGTCTTGAACTTGTTTGTCCGAATGTGAGGATTCATGTTCGGGTTTCTTTTTTTTTTCTCTTTTTGTTATCCTTTTTGATTACTGTAAAAAATGGAAACTGAAAGAGTATAGTGTTTTTCACTTCATCAAACAAGATTGCTTATTCTGTGATGTGGGTTTGTTGATAGAGCGAAGTTCTATTTTTGGATGATGACTAGAAACAAATCTTTCCTTTATTGTGATGTTGAATAGAACATACAATTCATAACCAAAAGAATCTCTGAGACTGAAAAAAAGCTTTTCATTATTGGTTTGTTTGTGTTCCATAACATCAGGATAACATATTCTCAAGACATAAAACTCAAATATATCATCTCGTTCTTTACGATCTTTCTTTTCTTTGTCCAAACTCCAAAATCATGTTGATAGATAGCTCCCAACTTCATGTGTTGTAGTTCCTCTAAACAAATCGCAAATGGAGCCAAGGCTTAAAACAGAACAAACATTCAGTGTAAGTAGCTAGACACAAGAGTGTTAGTTTATAGACAAAATATGGTATGCCTCAGAAATAAGTGATATCCATCACTGATAATCTGATAATACGTGCAATTGTGATACATCATTGGCAAAACCAACAACCCAACAAATATGTTAATCACTTTGAGACCAAACTAACAAAAGGTAAAATTTAAAATTTTCTTCGTCGAGTGCATCAGAGAGATTCCCATTTAGACATTAATCATCATACTCAATTCTCCTAACAGAAGAATTTCTGATGTCCCTGTCTTTTCATCGTCACTTGCACTCGTCAATAAACGCAAAGAGAATAAAACAAAACAAAAACAAATCGAAAAAAGAACTAAAACAGTAAAATCAAAATTGAAAACTTTAAAGATATGCATCAGAGAGATTCCCATTTAGACAAACTCATCATTCTCATCTCCTAAACAGGAGATTCTGATGTCCCTGTCTTTTTATCATCACTTGCACTAATCCATTAAAATCCCAACATGCAACCAAATCAATACAGAAATAATGAGATCGACCCACAAAAACCAAAGCCATCACCACAAAAACTAAACAGATGTGTAAGAGAAAAAATGCCTCAGTGTTGTTTTTTTTTTCCTAGAGATTAATCTCTCAAAGTATATTTAACACCATCACAGGCATAAAGATCAATCGAAACAGAATTAAACAAAGACTCACGAAAGATCAAATCTTTAAAAAAAAACACTCGAACCTCAAAACACAACATTTGACATAGATCTATTGTTCCTCGGAGAAGTGTTAAATAACACTCCAATCGGCGAACAGAGGCGGTGCTAATTAGGGCAGAGACAAAGGTGTTAATGGGCTTATTAAAACAATTTCACAGGCCGAATTAATTTGGCCCAACTGATATATATTCAGTGAAACCGGTTTGGTTTTTGTTGGTTTAAATCGGGTTTTAAATTGCAAATTGGTTTAAACAAAACCGGTTCTCTCTCTACAGAGAGCACACAATTCCGTTGGTCGACGTCTTAAGTTTCCCAGCGAAATCGAAGGTAGTCCCTTCGTCTGCTTCTGTGAGCTTTCTCTCTGTTCCACCATTAATCTTTCCTTTTTTTCTCTTATTCAACTTTTTTTTTTTTCCATTCTTCGTCTTCGTCTTTCTCAGGACAATCTTTTTGGTGCCTTTCTTTCTTCCTTCCTCCATGATCTTTCTCTTCTTTGTAACTTGGCCTCCTCTGTGCTCATTTTCATCAATTTCTTCTCTTGTTTCCGAAGCTAAGACCCACAATATTTATCCGATTCTGCTGCAAAATACCATTTTTTAGAAAAAAAATCTTCTGTTACAGTGATTTTTGTTCTCTAGAGACTCTGTGTTCGAATATAGACGTCCCCAACTTCAAAGGTTGGATTTTTATCTTCTTCTTCTTGATGGGTTAAATTAAAGACCAAAAAAAAAAATCATCATTTGCTCAATCGTTCTCCCGAAGCGACTTTTTGGTCTGAAGCTTTGAGAGAGACAGAAACATAAGCTCTTGCAAGAAGTGGAATTTCATCTGGTCATTGAAGTGAGTATTGGAAGAAATTGGTGTTGTTGAAATTCGTCATTTTTTATTTTCTTTTGTAAAAAATTGGAATTTGATGGTGGTTTGGTTGATAGGATGGGTAGGGTAAAGTTGAAGATAAAAAGACTTGAGAGCACAACCAACAGGCAAGTTACATACTCGAAGAGAAAAAGTGGGATATTGAAGAAAGCCAAAGAGTTGTCGATTTTGTGTGATATTGATATCGTCCTTCTTATGTTTTCTCCTACCGGAAAGCCTAACGTTTTCCATGGAGAGCACAGGTTAAGATAATCATAAAGTTCTCAATTTTGTGTGTGTTTCGATTCCCTTTCTGAATGCATTGTGCTTATCTTCTCAATACTCTTCTGTCCAAAAACAAAAGTCTTGTCTTCTCAGATATGGTTTCTTGCAATTAACTGAGTTGAGTTTTCTTAACATGGTTCTGTGCAGTTGCATTGAAGAGGTTATTTCTAAGTTTGCGCAATTAACTCCGCAAGAAAGGACAAAAAGGTATGGTAAGCACTTATGTATGTTAAAAGTATGGATTACTATCAATCCTTTGATGTGATTTGTGTTATGGAAAACTTAACCAAAGTCTCTCTTTTTTTCTTTCTTTTGTAAACAAAACAGGAAATTGGAGAGCCTTGAAGTAAAGAAAAACCTCACTTAATTTCTTCCTTTCAGTATCCTCTTCCTCATCAAATCTTTTTTGTTTTGTCTCAAACATAAATTTGAGCTGATTTGTTTGCTCGATTGCAGGCATTGAAGAAGACTTTTAAGAAGCTAGACCATGATGTAAATATACACGAGTTCTTAGGAGCAAGGTACTTACTTGCCATGAATTCTTGAATTAAACCATATTTTTTTGGTCATTATAAGCCTCTGGAGATATCTAAAATGTTTGTCTTCTCTATCCTGCAGGAATCAAACTATTGAGGTATGAATCAATTTCTTGGATACTTTTTAAAGCTCTCTGAATCAGATTGCTAAAGCCTTTTACCACATGACAGGGTCTAAGTAACCAAGTAGCTATTTACCAAGCTCAGCTTATGGAGTGTCATAGGAGGCTAAGGTGTGAACATATATAGTTTCTTGAGTTTTTAAAAGTAGTGCTTCTCATAATCTAGTTTCAATCATATATCTGAGTCCTCTTTTTCTGGTCTCTGTTTTCAGCTGTTGGACGAACATCGATAGATTAGAAAACACTGAGCACCTGAATTTATTGGAAGAATCGTTGAGGAAATCTCTTGAAAGAATCCAGTTTCACAAGGTGTGTTCCTTTTGACTCAGCCCCAAGATTCAGGATTTCATTTCAGTTTCTTGAAACCATATGGTCCTTCACTTTTTTCAGGAACACTACAGAAAGAGCCAACTTATGCCAATAGAATGCACAACAACACAGGTTAAAACTATTTGTCCCCTCTCTTTCTCTCTCTCACTCTGTCTTCTTCAGGACATCTTCTTAACCAGACCAATGCCTTTTAACTGCAGTTTCACAGCGGGATACAGTTGCCTTTGGCCATGGGAGGTAATAATAGTATGCAAGAAGCTCACTCCATGTCTTGGCTTCCTGATAACGATAACCAGCAAACAATCTTACCTGGTGATTCCAGCTTTCTTCCTCATAGGTAACTATAGTCTTAAGTCACAAAATACTAAAACACTTTCACATTGAAGTCTGCTCTCTCAAGTCATATGTTACACTGATTTGAAAAACAGAGAGATGGATGTTTCGATTCCGGTTTACTCAAACTGCTTCTTTGAGCCTACAAAGCAAGAAGATCAGATGTGCAGCAACCCTGTACAACAGTTTGAGCAGTTAGACCAACAAGGAAACGACTGTTTGGGTTTACAACAAATTGGGGAGGAATATTCATTTCCTGCACCGTTTGGTACTAATTTGGGAATGGAAGAAGATCAATACAAGAAGATCATCAAGTCTGAAATGGAAATGCACAGCTTGCAACCACAACAACAACAACAACAACAACAACAACAACAACAACAACAACAACAGCAACAACAGCAACAAGATCCTTCAATGTATGATCCAACGGTTAATAGTAATGGTGGCTGCTTTCAAATTCCTCATGACCAATCCATGTTTGCCACTGATCACCATCAACATCAACACCATCATCATCATCAAAATTGGGTTCCAGATCCAATGTTTGGTCAGACTTCTTACAACCAGGTTTGTTTTTCACTTCTCCATTTGAAGTTATAACTTACCTAGCTAAATGATCCACCAAACTGAGGTTGTCTCTGTATCTTTGGCGATTGCAGCAGCTGAACTAACTCAAGAGAGGGCTCATGTACGGATGATGATTGCACCTATGTCTGAAGAAGGATTAGTTTGAGCCATTGCTATAATGTCCAAGATATAATAACATAATATAGAGAGAAAGAGGGAAAGTGTGTGTGTACATGTAATATGTATGTATGAGCTTGTGTCCATACTCAGGGGAGTTTTAGGCATTTTGTGTATAAAAGATGTTGTCTAGGAACCGTATATTTCTATAAGAATGATAAATATAACCAATATATTGTTTATTCTGGCCAAGCGTTTGTGATTCTTAATTCTAACTTGTCAAAACGATTTCTATGATAGCAATATAGCATACACAAAACAAAAACAGTAACAAAAGGATCCACTTAAAACAGTAAATATTTTTATATATAAACTGTCAATTACAGTAAGCAACCTCAAATCTAATACACAATCTTGCAACCATACTAGTTCATTGATTCTTCACATTGCAACTCGTAACGACAGAGTGGACAAACATGGCTTCTCTCAAACCACTTTACGATACAGTCATCGTCAAAGTCATGTCCACAAGGTAAAGTCACAAGTCTTGCTCCATTGTGAAACTCTTCCAAGCAAATCGTGCACTTTTGATCATCGGTAGAGCAAATCATGTTGTAAATTTCCTTATCCCTTGTTCCTGTTTTCACAATCTTCTTCTTCTTGCATATCTTCCTCGACAAATTCTTGATCGCGAGCTTGCTTGCGGGTCTTACTCGGATATTACTGGCTTCGTCGAACGAGGCTTGAGCTGCTTCTTGAATCTGAGAGTCTTCATCAACGATGAGATAATCAGGAATAAAATCCAACCTCACTTCCAAAGCGCATCCAGGAGAATACTCGTTACTTGATTCACAAGTTATTTCGTCAACACGGACGATTAGTTTAAGCATTGCGTCTAAAATAACATCGTTGTCGTTTACTGCCTCCATCAAGAAATATTCCAGCTCTTCTTTGCTTCGACACCCGTCGTTCTCATCATCGATGAACTCTTTCGCAAACGACGTTGTCGAGAATGGCAAGTAATCATCTTCACCAACAAATACCCTTGCATTGATAGTGATTGTGTCAGCATCGTCTGGTTCGGGATCGTGACGGATTTCGTGGTCGACATTGATTTTCATGACTGAAGACGAAACGATGATTGATACAAAGACGTGTTCGATGTTTTTTTCTGTAGTCGCTCTTGCTCTAGCTCAAAAGATGGAATTAAAACGATGAAGTGTGAGGTTTAGGGATTCTTATAATTATATAGAGCGTATGACTGACTACTTGTATTTGTATCTGAGATAACAATTTCCTTTTTTTTTTCCAACTCGACTCCTTTTTGCTTTTCTTTCTTTTAATCTTTCTATAATTTCCTTTTTTTTTAAGACCCAGTTTCCTATTTCCTTTTTGCCTTCTAACTTAACGCGTATAATTGTTTAAATCTATTTTCACAAAACGAAAATACTATTTTTTTACTGATATTTTTTTCTAGCTTATGTGTATCCTTGTAAACATGTGCGTGTATATCTATGTTCTTCTTTTTTTTTTCCCTTAAAAGATAACTATTATACAATTAAATAAGGTGACTATAGAGAAGTAAAAACACTAACATCCATTTTTTGGTTCTTGCTCCACTTTTTTCTATAAAAGTGTTAAGCTTCTTTTTTTTTTAATAATAAAAGTGTTTAGTTAGTATCAATATATTGATTATTGAACAAGATGGAGTCCCATATTAAAATATTGAATCGAGGACATAGAACCATGAATAAAAAGAAACTGTTTAATAAAATCAAACTATGATTAAGCACACCAATCGCAAAGATTTATAAAGAGTTTAGTTTCATGCATGTACTCATAAGTATTTGAGATAAACAGAGAGGGGTCTTTTTTTCTTCTTCTTCCTTTTTCTGATCAACAAAAAACATGTACTCAGAAGAACAATTAAGATTTTCTAGTACTATTTTAGTAATAGTGTAAATACTTATGAGTCAAAAAAAGCCTTTTCTAACTAAGACTACACAACATACTCATAAACTAATACAATCCACATGAGAGAAACCACTCAAGAGATACTTGAGCTCTTCATCATCATCTTCTTCATCGACGACCATTGAGCAACTATCATCACTCAAACACGAAAGTGGAAGAGTAAGAAGAAGATGATGATGATGGTGTGGTCGACGTGGACATGAAAAGTCTTCTCTTCCTCTTATGCTTAGCCTTGAAACAAGCTTGTCTCAATCTCTTTGTCTTATCCTCAAACTCCAGCTCTGGTAACTTCTCAATCGTTTTCTTCTCATTCTCGAGCTTCTCCAAAGCGTTCCTTAGGTTTTCTTCGTTCTCTTCCCCTTCCATCTTCCCGAGCTCCTGTTACAATTAGTCACATCAAGATTCACTAATATTAAGACTTTCACTAGTATTTTACAATTTATATTTGGCGAAAATAAAATAAAGTAAAATTATGAAGTGCAAACAAAAAATCCGAAAAAATAATAATAATATCAAATGACTCTATGTGTTCGTCTTCGTACCTTGACATTACTGATGAGTTTTTGTAGGCTCATAAGCTTACGATGAGGCCAACGATGAATACCCACTTCGCGACATCTCTTCTTGAAAAGGGTTAAACCAATGTTAAGCTCTTTAGCCGCTTGAGATATCGGCATGTAAAAGTACGACGAGATGGTTTCCTTCGACAATGTCTTTGAAACAGAACAATCTTCTTCTCCGCATCTCCTCTTCTTGGTAGTTGTGGTTTCAGTCTTTTTCACCAAATCAAAATCTTCTATAATTTTTTCATCCAACATTGACACTGCTTCGGGCCATGATACAGGACCGGACTCATCACTTAGTAAATCTACACAAACAGAACGACAAGACTTAGAAATTGCTTACATGAATACAACATGAGATCAATCTAATACAATATTATAAGTGCATATTTATATATACCTTCATGAGAAACGATGGATATGGGTTCAAGATCAGGCAAAGCCAGGAAGCTTGAGGCAGAAGGAAGATAATAATTATAGTTGCCACAAGGGAGAATCTCATGTTCCAGTTCAAAGAAAAGATTCGTTAACTCGCTGCATTTACAAAGTCACAACAGTTATAACATCGATCAAGAGCAATTATAAACATGCTAAAAACAAAAACTCATGATCATTTTAATTTTACCTTTGATAAGAGGAAAGTGATGAGTGGTTTAGGAATGAGAATGATTTATCTTCTTTGCCAAATACTTCATTATACTCCAACTTGCAAGAGGATTTCATCATCATTAATAAGTTTATAATCACTAATCAGTAATCAGTAATCAGAGAGAGAGAGCGAGAGAAGTTTATATATTTAGTTGGTTGATATGGTAAGAGAAGAAATTAAAAGTGAAGTGAGAAGTTATATACTCTAGACCTACGGGAAAGTGGGTATTGACGGCTAATTGATTGCCCTGTAAAATTTGGAGTTACGAGAGAGACAGAAATGATTAATGGAAATTAATGCTAATAAAAGGGACGTTTTTTAGGATTGTAATCAATACTCGTAGATAAACTTCTCCCTGCATGTAATATGATTATAAGTTGATGTCTTGATGAGATCTCTACTCCGTTTTCTCATGTTCCCAAAAATTTGCCAGAAGATCTATAAAACCAGTTTTCAGTTTTCACACAAGCTGTAGAATTGTGTATACTCACTCGTCACGCTGTGTGACAATAATATTTTGTTGTCAGTACGTTTACATATATTAGGGGCTAGAGCTTACACACTTTTAGACTTTTTAGTAATGGAGGCTATGTAAAGTTCATTAATACATCTTTAACAAAAAAAAAAGTTCATTAAAATACACACTTTTGCGCAACCATTTACACTCATTATAGTATTTCTGTAATCAAGTTCATATATTTTAAAACTTTTTTCGTGTAAATATCAGATTCGTGAATTAAGTAGATAGTCGAATTCATAAAGTTACGCTTTATTATATGCCTTTATATGTAAAAAAAGAGAGAAGAAATAAGCATACTCCACGAGTATATAATCAGTTATGAATTATGATACAAGATGTAACGTATGGTGCTAAATTGCCAATCAATAATTTAATCTTTAACTAACAATAATCTGAGTTGCGGCTTAAGAGTAACGGTTGAGATAAATAATACATTTACAACAAAATGTAAACGGTTAAGATTAATTTGAGATAATTAATGGCTTCCGAGTAATTAATTATCAGTTTTCAGGTGATTCGTGTAGTTTAATGCTCCACATAAAAATAAGAAACTAATTTTTGCTATAAGTTTTTTTTTCTTTTTCTTAATAACGGCAATTTTTGGTAGCTGTAAATTATTGATGAAGTCATATTTAGAGAGATTTTGGTTGTTTCAAATACCACTTTTTGTAGACCAGTTTTCAATAATACCACAAAGACATCTAGTAGTATTCAAAATAGCATTTCTAAGACACAAAGAGTAAGTTAAACAAAGAGAGCAACACAAAAAAGTGAAAAATAACTGAAGAATGTGGGGTTTCTCAAGCATTAACTGCAAGGAAACCAATTATGTAATAAACCAATTATATGTCACTCCATCTTTCAGGGTAAGAAGAAGTGAGAACTTTTTTAGCCTTTTTTAAGGAACATCGGTCCAAATTAAAACTTGTTGATTTGCTCTGCATAAGTTGCAAATGGATGCAAAGATATTACCTTCCGAACAAACAATAAAAGACTAGAGATTTCATGTCTTTTTCTTGGCTATAATTTATAACTAAAGACGATTTTTCATGGTGAAGTCACAGACAACAGAGATGATAACACAGACCTTAGAAAACGCAAGGAACTATTTATAGAAGAAGACAAAAGATGGAGGCTATGTCAGACTAAAAAACCATTCAAGCAGGATTCTGCAACAAAGGCTGTAAAATGGTTTCATACAAACAAGAAGGTAGCTGCTATTATGGTAAAATAACTAAAATGTCTTTTCCCCGAAGGTAGAAGAAAGCTTGTCTTGTCTGTTGTTGTCATAAGCCATTCATTTTTTTGCTTAATAAAAAAAAACCTTCCAGCACACAAACTTAACATACTGTTATAGAAGACATGCAAGCAAATGTGGGTTTCTGAGCAACACTCCCATCATTCCTCACCACCATCTTCGTCTTCTTCGTCATCATCTTCCTCTGAATCACCTTCTTTCCCCTAGAGTTATGGTTCCGAAAAACTTATCAGTTTAAACTTACAACGGAAGAACAGTTTCAGATTTTCATCATCTCATCATATCATACATGGAAAATAAATGATTTTTTTTACCTCTTCATCACCATCATCGTCTCCATCAAAATCCTCTTCATCAGCATCCTACAAAGTTGCATATAACAATTTACCAAAATCTTCAAGCAACTAATGTGCTCTAAACAGAGTTAAGATTGGAAAATGAAACGGTGAATAGCTTACATTGTTGAAGTAGGTGAGAGGGTTGGGCCATAAATCTTCCTTGATGATATCAGCAACCTGCTACAAGACGAATCTCTGAGATCAAATAGGGCCAGAGAATGGTGTTGCTCTCAACACACAAGTGGATAATAATATAGTATCATTACCTCGTCGTGAATCTCTTCATCAACGTCCTCCTTGTGTTGAGCATCGCTAAACCAGGTAAAGAAACTGAAAAAGACAATTAGAGACGGAGTCATTAGACAAATGAGTGCAAAGATTTAAGCCATGGTGCCAAGAATTTTAACTTGGATCTAAGAACTATACCTTTCTTCAGGTAATGCACGCTTGTTTCCTTTCTTCTCGTGATTCACTCCATTCGGCAAACCCTTCATAATCGAGAAACAAAGTTAGAGAAATCCCAAAGAGTGACAATTCAATAAATAAACTTATGTCATGCAATAGATATATAAATCTCATTACTTTGCCCTCTTTCCATTTGATAGGTGTGGCTGTGATTTTCGTTGTCCCTTCGTCGAGGAATGTAAAAGTCTTCGTCAGTTTTGCATCCTCAAAAAAGGGGTTGGGGCTGAAGTGCTGTAGTTCACAATTCAACAACAATCAGTACACTAAAAAAACTAAAACCTTATATGCTCGGCTTTCTTAGATCAATCAGAGATATGAAAGTGGCATATATATAATAATAACAAAGAGAAAGAGAAAGAAACTTACAAAAGTGATCGAGTATCCAGATCTCACATCTTTGGCATCCTCAACATCGAGAGAGACAAGATGTTTGAAAATCTGTCAAAACAAAACAGAAACATCGAATCAAGAGGTCACTAAGATGATGTAAACACAGAACAGAACAGATACTTTTTGTGGGCAAGAAAAAAACAAACCTTTTGGTCTTCTTCTGTCAAAAGCTCACCAAGAGCAGGGTGGCTCAAGAACTGTAAAGAACACAGATTTCCAATCTCAATTAGAGAAAAGATTGCTTTTTTAAGCAAAACCTCTGATTTGAAAACGGAACATTACAGTAAACTTACAGCAGTGAGCCAGAAATCAGGGATAGATTGGATGATTTCGTTACGCTTGTCGTAAACAGGTTTCCTTATCACGTTATACTTCTGCTCCACTTCCAAGACTTCATCGCTAGCCTTCTCGTTTATCTACCAACAACAACAACATACAAAGAAAGACCAAAAACGAGATCACTGAGATGGATTCAAAAAGCTCTAATTTCTCATCAAACAGTTTTCTTAACTTGACTATAGAGCTATCACATAATTGATGTGAAAACGACTACATTTCATTCGAATTACACATCAACATCGATAAAGATGCTGACTTTTCCAATAATTTGGAAAACCTAAATCGAGAAGAGCACTCCAATTTAACTCATCGGCAAAAGGGCAATTCAGAAGAATTCGAGCAAATAAAAGTCGGATTATTTTTGTGATTTACCTTTTCGAGGTCGTCTTGGATCTCCTGAAGCTTTTCAATTGAGAGGACAAGCTCTCCATCGATTTGTTCGATGTTTTCCTCATCGATTTTCTCTTCAATTTTCGCCTTCTTGCTCTTGTCCGCGACCATTTTCTCAATTCACTCGAAACCCTAATTTCAAAACGCGGAGGATTCGACGCCCCTCTTCCCTCTTCTCTGCCTTTCGTTCCGTCTGAAGAGCAACCGCTAAAACCCTAAAGCTCGATGTGTATATGTTGTTGGCGAGGCGTGAAGCTGATTTAGGGTTTTGAGGGTTTTGGTCGACCAATAAGATTACGCCAGCTTAGGCAAATAAGGGCATTTTTGTTAACACGTATTAAAAGGCTGGGTAGTTTAGAGATTTCATGTCCTTTTAATATTTCTTTTGCTTTAGATTTCAATTGATTTTTTTTTTTAATAAAGTACTAACTGATTACAAAAAGATATCCAAACATTTTATGATGTCATGTTGTTAAAGAAAAGAAAGAATCAGGTGTTGACAACAAAAAACGTCATGTTACTGACAAGAAAAAGGTGCTATATGATCAATTCTAAGACTAAATCAATTTTCTTATCACAAAGATTTGCAAAATTTGTTGTATGAACTTGAAATGGGCTTTCTGAAAATCTTTACGGGCTAGTGAAATATTTTAAAACAGAAACAACATGGGCCACTTTGACCCAAAACAACATGGGCCACTAGTCCCCAACTTATAAACCTTCATCATAATTCTAACAACTACAGTTTTGTATGTTAGGGTTAGGGATCACATTTTCGAGTACAAAGGTGACACATTACTCATATAGTCATATTCAACGGTCGATTTATTGGAGTAGTTTGGCTCTAGTTGGGTATTTATGTGTGTATATATCAGAAGAAAACATAATAATAGGTATACTTCTTTTTCCTAATAAATATTGAATGGAATTGGGTAAGGTGGTCACAAAGTAATTAATATTGTTGAAAACATTCTTCGTAGCTGTTGGTACCACCATACTTATTTTAATATATACGGAAAAGTTTAATGTAGACATATTTTCCATCTTCCACGAATATATAAACAAAATTGGTAATTCATTAATTCTGCTAGCTAGTGTGTGTCGAACCATAAAACTATGACGTATATGGTCCATATGGATAAGCATATACAACAATATGTATTAATATTACGAATTAATTGTACTTTGTATTTTTGTTAAAAGGTTTATCTGAATTGATTAAATAGAGAAGCTTACAACGAAACAAACATGAACCAATGAAAACCCACAGATGGAGAAAGAGCCAGAGAAACGCTTGCTTTAGTCACAGATAAGCCTAACAACACCACATAGCTAGAATTGGAGAAGAAGTTAGGTTATGGTCCAGCAAAGTAGCTAGTCAAGTAGAAGAGCTCCACTTGGAACCCAAACGTTGAAGAACAAGAGCTTTGTTCTTGACAATCGAAATTAGCTTATGAAAGAGTCGATTTTGAGCGAGTGAGAGTAGTATACACGTACCGTTCTGGTACAGTCTGTTTGTTCTTTCCAAATTTCGGAGATGCAAGCATTCCAATCATGCAGAAAGAACGAGAGATTTTGTTTATGTTTTTCTTTTCTCAAAATAATACTATACTGTTATATAAGACATGCACGTACTGTTGTTATTTTATAGTATTTTCTTTCGATAGTTGAAACAACTAAAATGAATTATTTTGTCTTTAAGCTTCGATCACCACAACTATCAACAAAATGGACTCTATTCAAACTCGCAAAGAGAAAAGCGTTGCACCAAACAACTATCCATATTGAGTTACACAGTACTAGTTTGTCGAATTATTTCTGCTCGTTATGTAAAATTTTGTGCTGTAAAAGAAATTATATGCATATTGTAGTTCGTATGCCATTTCTATAAATCATAATATTATAAATCAACAGAAAATAATATCTGGAAATAAATCCGAGAAAAAGTCTACAAAGAGAGTTCAGAGAGATATAGTGCTGTCTAAGGCGGTCCAGCTGATTATATGTTTTGCATCCATTGCCCATACTCTCTATTTATTCATTTCTTTTTAACAAATTGTCTCGTTTCGAGTTATTGATTGGTCCCAATTTGAGAACATTCCCTCTCATTTACTACTAACCAACCTTGAGTTTTAAATTGCATGGCTACAAATATATATCCGATGTTTATGCCAGTTTTGTATACTCTATTACTCTCACACAGACTAATTAATATTTCGTTGTCTCGACGTCAAGTTATCACCGTTTCATATTATCCACATGCATACTTTGTAGGGTGACGGACGACTCATGAGAGGGATGATCTATCTAATCACGATGTTTTTATCATACAATTCGTTCCAGTTAATGCGTTGCATGGCTGTATTATAGTGAAACATGTGTAGAACTGATATTATACTGCGACTACCACGAAAACTCACTATTTTCACAATTGAAAAAAAATATAATTCATAGCCCATAAAAGTTTCTCTGAAAACCAAGATTGTTGTGTTTTATAATATAAACCAATAAATCAAAATCAAAATCATTAACATAGTACAAAACGAACAAATATTACAAAAACACTTGAAAACGAGTTAACCAACACACACAGAAACATTACTACTTAAAGAAAGCTCAAGTCTTGTATCCTAATCTCAGTTTTAAACTTCTTTTGATGAGACATCTCATGATGATCAACCTTAGCTGCTTCTTTAACATTCCTAGTAGTACTATCAACAACCGAGACAGCTTTGTGACTCTTACAACCGGACAAAAACCCACCGGACCGGACTTTCTCAGCAACCGCCGGTTTGGTTTTAACCGAGCCACTTCTAGCGACCCTCTTCATCATATCGAAATCCGAAATCACCGATTGATCTGCCATACTCCCCGTTACCACACTCCATCCAATGCTAGCCTCGCTTGGCTCATAGACACTGCTCGTTATGTTTTCAATCTCGAACAAATCAGAACTCGCTTCGCTTCCTGTCTCCTCCTCTTGCGTCTTGCTGCTAATTGAAGAGTTATTACCATTGTTGTGATTGCTGTTCTTGGTGGAGAGATGGTTTGGTATGGCGTCCCATGTAAGCATAGAGAGCTTTCTCTCGAGATTCATAGCGATGTCGGACCTTTGGACAGGTATTGGAATCATCCCTGGCTCGGGATAATCCGCTTTCTTGGCTTCAAAACGGAGTCTTGGTTTTTCGTTTTGCTTTCTTGCGTCATAAGCAACGAAATCCCTATCGGAACTTCTACTTTTGCATGAGATTTTCCTGTCGGTATTGACGGATTTAACCCCGGAGCATGGACCGTTGCATCTAAACCCACCAAAAGAGACGCTTATCTCGTTCGTTTTCCGTTGCTTATTGTCGTTGTTGTTGTTGTTAATCCTCATGAGAAAGGTTTGGCTGTTGTAACTTGACTCGGATCTTACACTTGGAGTTCCATGTCGGCTTGTTCTTGATCTAGACGACGTCGTTTTCGTTAACTGAGGCTGGGGCTGAGTATGAGGATGATCCTCTCTGTTCTCCTTCTCATGTTGCTTAGTGGTATCCACCGTGGAATCAACATGATCTAGCTTCATGCTGAAGTACTTTTCTGCGCCGAACACTCCGATCTCGGAGTCAACATCAGCAACAGAAGCTTTGATCGTGGGTTTGTCTGAGATTTTTGAAGACGCGTGTTCTTGGATTGAGGTGAGGACAACTAGTTGTGGTTTATAAGTTGAGATTTGGCGAAAATGGGCACTCTTCTTTTCAGCATCCATCTCTATTGTGTGTATGTGTATGTTGTTTAGTGACTACTTTATGAAGTGGTAAAATACAAAAGATCAAACAAAAGGGATTTTATGTAGAGAAATGACAAGAAGAAGCAAGCTATGGAAATGATGGGAGATTTTATAGAGAGAAAAAGCTTTGAGTGGTGGATGTGTTCCTGAGGAGGCATTTTCATTATATATAGAGAAAACAGAATCTTAGTGGAGGAAATGGTGCCATGTCATAATATAGTTTTACACAGTTTGCAAACCCCTCATTTAATTATGGGTTTCTTTTAAAAGAATTGCCATGGAGAGAAGAAAGTACATTATTATTTTCATAAAGTTGGAAGTACAATAGAGCGTTAGACTTTAAAAATAAAAAGCGAGGAAAGGTATTTTCGTTGGGGTGTTAACACGATATGCGATTTAATAGAGTGTAAAAAAAGTGTTTTCGTTTGATCATAGTAGGAGTTGTTCACAGTGGCGAATGTAGAATTTTTTTTCACAGTGTCAGTAAACAAATCAAACATAAAAATAATTTTATTATGGTGTCATATGGAGTTTCCAACTCTTTCTTAGGGGGTCATAAGGAGGAATTTTCAATGCAATCTTACAAAACCAGTGATATTTTAACCCAAAAAAGTTTGTTTACAAATTGTTACGGTGTCACATGACACCGTATCCGTGTTAGTAGATTCGCCACTGGTTGTTCATATAAATATCTGTGTAAATATACTTTCTGGATCATTCAGTTTTACGAAGATTTTAGTACTACAAAATATTAGCTCTGTTTATCGATTATCAACAGTTTATTGGTACTAATGACAAGAATTTTTAGTTTTCGTCCTATTACACGTAGATAATTGGGGGAAAATCAGTAGAAAACATATTCTTTTCAAATGTTTTAGATAGAATACAAACAAGCATTATTATGAGTTAGACCTTTCAACTTTGTACAGTCTCTACTTCCTTAACGAGGAATAATTCGAATTCTCACAATCATCAAATACTTATTTTCTTTATATCGAAAGTATATATTTTGTGAAGGTTTATCCATGAAAATAAGATGTGGACAATGTCATGACAAGTGGTATGTGGAAGTGGAACAAAGAGAGGAGAAAATCAGACCAAAGGAAGAGCTTGGTATTTATTGTTATGCCTATTGTTCAGTAATAAATAGGTTGAAAGATTGGTTTTAAAATGGATTTTCAATTCCAACAAATATGTATCACTCATTCAAGTATAAATTGCCTTGACGTCTGCTGGAAAGTTTGGCAGTGGCAACATCAAAGATCTTTTCAGTATCATATTAATTATCATTGTCCTTTTGGAATAATACAAATCCAAAAATGTGACTTTGGAATGTTTTAAG